GAGGCGAATCTGCCTCTGAGAACAATTTTTAAAAGCACCTTAACAAGATTCTGCAGAACTCAAGTGTTCAGAATGAAACCAGTCCTTACATGCAAACAAAGATCTTACAATTTTCTATTGCTCTTGTCTGATGAAACTACTTTGACTGTTTGGCCGTAACGGCGATCATATTGGTTGGAGAAGAAAAGAGTTTGCAAGTATAGGAACACCAACCCAGCATGGTGGAGGTGCCATCAAGCTGTGGCCTGCTTGTTGTGGGACTTGGGGAGAAATTTAATTTGAGCGGAAAAAGGTTTTTAATGTGTTTGAAATATAAAATTCTGATAAATATTTATAAGACACTTCAAATTAAAATTTCCCCACCGTGGAATCAATAAAGTCTGATCTTATCTTTTATTAAACATTAGTTTTGTCAGCATCAACAGTTATGGGGGGTTACAAAACCTTTCCAAAGACTTTTAAAGAAAATTTAACTCACTAACAGTTATTACCAACTGACAGGTCCCTCCTGATTCCAAAGGTGGAACGTAAGCAGATGTCCACATGTAAGACGTGAATTGTCGGAGAAGAAATTATTAGAAATAAGAAGTTAAAGGTTTGTGATAAAGTCTCAAGCTAAAGACTTTTTTTTTTATTATCCATTTGCTTTAATCCTCTGTGTACCTCGCACACCCAGGGGCGTATAGTACAATCGTTGAACAATAGATTTTAAAGACAGCAAGCATTTGTAATTGAATGTTTTAATTTCAAATATGAAGAATTAAATAAGGAACCTGTACTTTGTTAGTGGCTATCACAAAGCCCTAAACTCAGATAGAAATTTAAAACGAAGAAGAAGGTGGCTGCCTGAAACTTTGAAGTCAACACGACCAAAGGTTAACAAAATGTACATAAACTGGTGATGCAGTAGGATTAATATTAAAGTTTCCCTGACCCAAAACAGGGGAATAACAGAATTAAATATCCATGGAAAACTAAGTTAAACTATATGTAGGAAAATGGGAAATGAGTAGTCTCAAGTTCTTCAATAGTCCTTCAAGGCTTCTCGAAGAACATTCAAAGCTCTTCTTTGGATGTTGGCTGCATTTGTTCTGTTCTCCGTAAAGATGACCGAACACTGCTACAATAATGTTCAGGTCCTTGCTCTAGGGAGGTCAATCCATAAATAAACCATTGACAATCGGATGCTTACCCAATAGTATGGCATGGATCACCAGAATCTGCCCTCTTAGATCCATCAAGTTCAACAAGATCCTCAACACCAATGACTGTAATGCAGCCCCAAACCACGACAGAGCATCCAGTGTGTTTTACAGACGGCTGCAAACAGTCATTATTGTAACTCTACACAATCGACACATGTTGAAACTTCAAATTTCGATCAATTATTCTGCAAGACCTGTTGTTACTGTTTTTAAGATAAGATAAGCTTTATTAGTCCCACACGTGGGAAATTTGTTTTGTCACAGCAGGAAGTGGACAGTGCAAATGTTATATAGCAAAAATTAGAATACAATAAGAATAAAATAGTGTACATAACTGTACAGAATAGAATAATAAAATAACATATACAGTAGAATAAAATATACAATAGGATAAAAATAAAATACAAATGCTTTATACAACTGAGTAAAAATACAACTTTGTCAGAAAAAGAGTATTGCACTTAGTGTTATTGCACATGTGTGGATGTGTGTTTGATCAGATGGAAGTCCAGTTCTTGTGTCATTATGCATACCTCAGTCTTTTCTCCCATCTTACTTACAGTTTATTTGCCGTAGACAGATTTTTAGGCCTTCTTTTGTCCTGCACTAGTCCAGCTTCCTCCACATACTTAAGAATAAACAGTACACCTTGTAGAGATATGCTAAGCGTGCAGCTAATTATTGTTTAGGAATCACTTTGTTGGTGCAAAAATAATATTCTGTCTCAGTCAAACCGTTATCTTTGTTACTAGCAGCCTTCTGGGGAAAAAAATCCCAAAGCGCCTAAAGATACAAATCAAGTTTTCTGTCATGTGCAGACAACAGTAGTGCGTCCCTTGTTTTGGGTGGTTTTTTTAATACTTGGATGATTCATAAGTCAGCATTAAGTCGCTCCAAAAATAAAAATCCCCTGAAAATTTCCATGAACAAGAACTGGACTGAAAATGAGTGAAAAGGATGTGCAAAGAAAAACCCAGAAAGCCTGGAGACCTAATGTTAAGACCACTCTAAAACAAAAGAAATGAGGGGTGCTTCAACAACAACGACCCCCTTCTTCATGTTGATTTTTGGCCCTCAAAGCTAGAATAGGGACTCCATTTTGGCACACCCCTGTCACAGAAAGCTGCTTTTACCAGCATTCACCGAGCCTTGTATGGCAGCATTGTCTGTATGCTAAACACGGCCTCAGACCACAGGCTCTCCGTGAAAAACTATCAGCACTTTGACCGTGTTAACAAAGTAACACAGCGCCGATTCCAAGCAAATGTGGAATCACAGCAGCAGTACGTTTACCGTTCCACTTCAAGATGATTAGCCTAGGGTGATGTGGCTTCAGTATCACTTTTAATGCTGGACCCACTGACACAGGAGCGCTGACAGCTGAACATTACACTGTACGAGAGTGGCCTGTTCTGCTATTAGCGAAGTTCACAGTCAGACAAGCAGCACCACAACCAGTCTGGCAGCACTGTGAAACAAAGAGAGATCTCCGTTTTTTTCCACTTATCAGCAGAGTTTTTCTTCTGATGCCAGGATGAAGCTTTTAAAAGAAGCTGGAAAAGACAAACGTAGCAGCCTTAGAAAAAACGGATTAACTTTAATGAGCCCCGTAGGGAGGTTCATCCTAGCAGTTGACCCCCTGGGTTGTATTAAAGCAGTCCTGAAAAAGAACCTAAAGCTTTGGTATTTTGATCAAGGGCGACTGAAAGAGTATGTCTTATACTTTTAATGCATGCCAGTCAACCACCACCCTACAATAAAAGAGCGTGGCGTACAAATAAAGATCTACATAAAAGCCAACCACTGGGTTTGTCAGCTGTTTAGGACAAAATAAGCAAATTCCATTGACTTTAGCCTCTTCTCTATTACACATTACTAACTAATGAGAGAAAAATCATAAATATTAATAAACAGAGTTTAACTCCATTCAAACCCAGCGTTCTTAGAGACGGGTACCCTGAACGCAGCTGGTGGTCAGCGATGATTTCCCACACTGATAGACTGTCGAGGCTGATACTCGAGTGCAACAGAATCACAGTTTTTATTCACAGCCAAGATGAGCCATTTCACCCAGAGACCACTTAAGCCCAGTGTTCTGAAACATTAGACACTCAGCAGCCATTCAGCCTTCATTTCACCTGCTCAGATGTGCTCACCAATCGGCTGCACTAATGTGGAAATTGTTCCAGCTTCCCTTCCCTTCATCATGACCGACTTGTGAGCATGCATAACACAGCAGGCCTCCCGCTGGCTCTGCTTTATGACCTGGCAAGACTGATCACAAGCAGAGGGAGCATGACACAGTATTAAATAAAATGCTCTGGACTCCCTTTACGAAAAAAGAGACGAAAATCCGCTGCCTACAGGGTGGACCCGACTCACACGTTCTTAGCTGCACAGACACGCTAGCTCATCAGAACAAGATCACCTTGCTTAACAGCGAAAAGAAAGAAAGCAGAAGTGTAAAATTACTTCAAGAGGTCACATTTGAGCTCTGTCAAGGAAAAAAATGATTTGGGGAACAAGATGTTTTTCTAATTCGGTGCTTGCTAAATGTCATAGTTGAAGGATGAGCAGAAGGGCGCGATGCTATGGAAAGTGATCAATAATATAGTCGTGACTGATTCCGAGTGAAACTATCATCAAGTACTGCGGGATAATTTCCAGATCAGAGGACAAACTCCAGTAATGCAAAGTGACAGTAAAATGGGAACAGAGGACGGGCACAGCGGTAATAATTGCCAGTTTACAACTTTCGAAAATGTGCAGCTTTGGCATTCACACACTCGCACACAAACTAGTGGCACTCATGGTTTAAATCAGAGTTAAAGAAAGCCAACACGGATGTGGGCAGATACGAGGGGGGTGTGGGGGGCGATTGAGAGATGATGCAATAATGGGTTTGTCAAGTGGTACCTTCCTCCCACCTCTCACTAACCTGGGCAGCTCAGCTATAAAAGCACAAAGTGCTTCAGTGCCCCCCATCCCATCCCATACTTTGACCCTGAGCTGCTGCTGTCCTGGCATCAGCACACAATATCAGTTATCTGAACGTTTCAGTGGGCCAAACATCATGCAGGCAGCTTTTCAAAGAGTCCCGTGAAGCTGAAGAATGCAAAGCGTCTCACCTACTGGCCTGAAAAAGTGGGACACTACCAACAGAACAGCAGTCTGGTTTAGTCAGAGATAAATTACTTGGTTAGATTGAAAAAAAAAAAAAAACAGAGGCTAGCAGAGAGTGCTACAAGTCAAAATGGTTTTGAGGGGCAGTCTGTCTGTCTGTGCTGTCAGATTTTCTAAAGAATAATGTCAGACTACAGAGGAAACATGCAGCCCGGCTACTCCTCATGGTTCCGTCCTTTCTGATAGGTGATCTTAGTCAAGAAACGGTGTGTACGAAAACAGGCTGATGATCTGCGTGAATGAGTGGCAAGATGTGACACTAATTCGGATTAAAAAGCTCTGAAGCTCAATGTTGGTCAAATGTTAAATACCACATTCACACAGGCATAGCCGTCCAACCCACACACTTGAATCATTCAGCAAACACATGCTGCATTTAAACAAGGAGGACTGTGGCCTTTGGGGGGAACCGCTTCGCTTGTAGCTGGGGCAGAGGTAGTAGCAGACCGGTACTTGAACGCCTCGAGTGTGGGCTGCTCGCCATCTCCAGACAAGGACTGTCAGGTCTGAATTAGCAAACATTTGGCGCAAAACAAGGCAGACGTAGACTCCACATTCAGCTTATGTCACTGCTAACAGTAGGCTATAATCTGCCAGTGTGTTTTACATTACCTGAATCGCCCTCCGCAGTGCTGGCATTGGTCCCCAACCCAGCCGGGGAAACATACACATTCGCCAGTGGCGGTGTTACACTGGCCGTTCATACACGGCTTATCGCACTCCTTGGCCTCGGTGAAGCCAGGCAAGCCGGACAGCAGCCCGATAACCGAGAGAAGGAGCGCAGTGGTCAGCATCAGCGAGCTCCGGTCCCGACCAGAGCCCGAGCAGGCCCGCCGCGTCGCCCCGTACATTCTCTCACAAAAGATGGCTGCTAGAGGCAGGCGCTCCGCTGACTTCGGAGGTAGCGAGCCGACGAGCTACCTGTTGATGTAGTTCCGTTTATTGGACCAGAGGTACGGTTTCCCTGGAGGGAAGGTTTAGTGTCTTCGCTGAACCTGGTTTCTGCCGGTTAGTTGGTTTACATCTTTCCAGTGGTTGTGTTTCCCAGCGCCGCACCAAGCCGCATATTTACATCCAGAAGTGACGTCACGACAACGGAAATGCGCAACGGAAGGAGGCAGAGCGCGCAGGGCTTTAAACTTTTATGTTGGAAGACAGGAAAAGTCCTTTCGTTTTCTCAGACAGCTCCTTAGCAGCTTTCTCTTATTATTTTTTTCTCTAAAATAATCACCGTCGTCCGTTTGCTGCTCGTGTTCTAAGCGTAGTTCGATGTTTATTTTAATATTTTTTAATACAAAATAATGATATATAAGAAATATGACCTCCTTCCTCCGCTCCCACTACAGGACATAGTTCACATAAAATCAGACTATTTACGATTTAAATGTTTATGCTCTTGAGAACAGCAGCTGTTGATATTAAATTCATATCGTGGGTTTATTTATTCATTTCATTTTAACCCTCTCAGGCTCAAATTAAACTTTGTGTTGCTAATGCACAACTAAGTCCTGCAGTGGTACTTCTGAGTTAAAAAAAAAAAACTCATAAAATATGTATGTGGGGTAATCAGGTTGTTAGTTTTTAACTGTTGCAAATAGGCAAAGCCTGCCTTGAGAGGGTTAAATCAGATAATTGATAAGCCTATACAATATTGCCTCTTAAATGTTATGACTTTATAGCCATATTCTAAGCTTAAGTTAAGTTAACCTATTTGGCTATTTAGCTTAAACTTTATAATCATGCGTCACTGAATATGAGGAAAAGTGTATACCACTATGATTGTTATAGTACTATAACTAGACTTTCCATGATGCTTTGCGCACACAACAGGACACCGTTTTTAGTTATAGCTTGTGAAACTAAGACTATTAACCTTGAATTCTAATCCGAGATGCAGAATCTCACAAATCATCTTACATGTTGTGGTAGAGAGACAAGACACTGAAGGCAGAATCCTAAACCATAAGTGAGCCTTTGTATATCTGATAAATGGTCCCAAACAAAATGCAAAAGTTTCACTTGGATTTATAATCCAAAGAAAAAGAAGTCCAAAAGAAATGTAAAGACCAGATGGGCAGAATGCCTCCTGCAAGCTCTGCTTTATGATGTAGACACACCATAATACTTCCACTTAAGCTTCTCCATTCTTTCTCTGTGTCCAAACAGCTGTACTTTTCATCTCTCATAATCTTTCTCTCGGCTGTCCTTCATGTTCTTCTGTCTATAACCTCATAGTCAATTACTGTGCAGAGTTCTAGCGATTGTGTTCTTTGAGACTACAATTCCCATCATTCACTCATGTCGTGGCAGATGTTCTGGGGTTATTTGCCATTTTTCTCTGGCTAGTATTCTTTCCAGAGTCTTTGAAATGTTCTTCTCCCTACCTCTGCCATGCTCATTCTGTACAGTGTGGCTCTCTTTGAGTTTCTTGGTGATACTTCTCTCTCCAGTTCTTGACACTTGGAAACCTTGTGATAACTTTGTATGTCCATCCCCTGCTTTCTGATCATCAACAATTCTCTTTCTGAGACTAACCTGATTTGTTTTTGGCACGGTACTTCCTCAGTGACAGCTAAAAAGCCTTGCTGAAGTTTTTATTGGAAGATAACCTCCAGTTTTAACTTGATTTTACAAGCGTTGAGGATTACAAAGCTAAAGCACATAGTTATCCCTATCTGTAAGTGGCTGAATACATCAAGTTACGCCAAAAAGAGGCCTTCCCTTTATACACAATTTGATATAAGGGTTATCTTCAAGGTGTTCGTCCTGTATCAACACTGTATTATATGGAATGACCTGGTAAATTTTGTTTGTTTTTTTAAATCCTGTCTTGTCTGGCAGCTTTTGCAATTAAGATTTATGATGAATGCACTGTTGTGCCAAACACATTGTGTTTTTCCAAGATCAGCTGTATAAATCTCTATATGCTCCTCTTTTTCATGTATTTCTTTTATCTCTTTATTTATTCATTTCTATTTGTGTTATTTCAGTTATTACATTATGTGGTATACTATGTCTAAAGAAGGGCAGGCAGGAGAGAGAGAGAAAAGATGGGAGGAGAAAATAGGGGAAAATATAACAAAAGGATAGAGTACAAATCGAAATGCACAATGTTTCCCCAACTGCTGGACCTCTAAGAAAAAACAAAGATGAATAACCTGGAACACAAAAATATGAAAACGCACAGATACATATATCCACATATATTTAAAGCCACTCAAGGTCAAGGTATATTTACTCCCCTTACCTCAGTCTCAAAGTGTATATTTATTCTTACTCTTCCTATATTTATTGTTGTTCTTTTGCACTGCTGTAACTGGAGCCTCTCTATATACTGTACTGTATATAGCAGAGATGACAAGAAAGTTTATTTTGACTTTGACAATCTCCGTGTGGTGTGTGTGTGTGTCACAAATGTACTCGATAATGAGGTTGGGAAACCACAATAACGCCCTCCAGGGGTCAGAGGCAGACTGAACTGGATCCAGGAGGCCATCCGCAGCCCCCAAGTTTACTGAAGAGCAGATACCACACATCTTGGTGATGTTTAAATTTTGAGAACATGTGTAGCGTCACCTTATGCCATACAGAACGTTACGTCACTGGGATGGTTGGTTGGTTGTGGCTCATAGACTTACATTTGTTTATTTTAGCTAACTAGTGAGAGAATCATTAACTGAGGGGATCACTCTTGTGCTGCCCGTCTGTAACAATGAGTTTTACACTAAGAAACAGAGGATATACTGTCCACTTTCACCGTCTCTTTAGCTGTAATTGTCTCTTTGGTCAGCTGCACTGAAACGGGAAATTCCAGCTGTTCACTGTAATGTTCAGGTTTGTAAAGCACTTTATAAAAAACAAATAAAGTGTGAAGGAGCATCATGAAATATTTCAGATGTCATACAGTTTTGTCTGTCTCAGCTTTTAAGGCTATACTGAATTCATCTTTATTGATTTACAGCCTTGCTGGCGCTTACTTTGATATAATACTCTCATCACTCTTACTCACTCTCACTTTGTAAAATGTATGAAAGCACATTATTAGATGAGCTCTGTCACGTTGTAATCTTCTATTTCAGTGCATCATATACATGTGAGAAAATATGTCAAGTAAGAGACAGCAAAATGATTTATAGGCCTGCTGCTTCAAGAAATATTCATGTTTGTGTCTGAATTTCTTAGCAGTCATCCCGACTGATGAACAGGTGATTGTTATTTAAAAAAAACAAAAAAAACAACAACAACAACCCCCCAACACACTGACCCAGAGACTCCAGACGAAGGACACAAAACTTTACAAACGGTATAGAACAGTTTATTAAATTTAGACTTTTAAGAAGTCATCATATTCCAATGCACTCCATCGAATGAAGCGCATTCGTAATAACACCAACCCCAAAAGGATTGATCACGGCATCAAAAACATAAATAAAGCAAATGAACATATTTACAATTTAACATGGGAGTTGTGCACAAGAACACGCAACTACATGTCTAGGAGGAGAGATCAGACGCCGAGGAGAAGGGTCTGACTTTTCAACGAAACCATCCGGACGCCTGGAGTGGAAGGAGGAGAAACACGATTTAACAAAGCGCGAGAGAAGACCTACACTGTAATCACATTTTCTTGGATTGACAGAAAAGAGGGAAAAGCGCAGAACCTCTGACAATACTCTATAATGCTGTTTTCAGTATTAATGGTATAAAGATGACAAGCCATCTCCTGCTGTAGGTGATTACAGTCCCCATCCTTGTCCATGAATAATCACAGTTCACTCTGGAATTAAAACAGGGGACGAAACGTTTTCTCCGCTAGAAGAATTTGCCCTGAATCAAATGTCTGAATCAGATATGAAACATTTAGTCTACAAAAGGTGTGACGAAAGAACACCTTCTTTATACAGTCCTTAAAGCAATTTCCACCTCTGTCGTGGTAGGTTTACAGTTCGTTTTAATCATCGTCGAGAGAATTGGATTTGGACATGAATGGCTTGTCTTCAGTGAGCCGAGTGGATGGATGAGCAAACATCACTATGACTTCCTGTAACAGTCAGGATTTTACAGTAATCAAAAACCCTGAAGATAATCAAAAAACTGTGCTTTAAAAAGAAAAAGACAAGAGCCTTAAAAAAGTACAATCATTGAAAGCATGTTACAATTAGTGAGTGTGTGTAGTTACAAATGGGTCATGTGATTCAGCACTTCTAATGCACATAAAAAAAAAATGTAGATCACATAACCAACATCAGGTCCAGGTCCCCCAGTACACAGTGTAGAGGGGTATCGACAGTATCTACTTATTAGCTAAATGCTATTTTTCTGCATCACAGGAGGGCTGCAGACCTCAGTATTTGTGTTTTTGTGCTTCACTGGGAACACCAGCTGGATGGGGTCGGAGCACAGTAGCACAATTCCAAAAACGTGAGGCGAGTTATCCGTCGAAGAAAAGTACACTTAACTGACTTTCAAATGGCACTCTGGTTCATGCAGATTCTCCTCCGGCAAACCCCTTCCACTTGGGTCCCCTAACGTGTGAAAACAAACACTGAGAATAATTTCAAAGAGGCAACCACCATCATCTCGTCTCTGGAGGTCACGCAGTAACATTCAGCTATCAGAGATCGTCTCCTCTTTGTTTCCTCTCTCACAGTATATCACACTATCTTACAGTAGCTTAATGAAAAAGCCATTTACAAGCAACAATATGTACAAGATTGGTCTTAGGAATTACAAAGAAAAGCATATAAACAGGGTTTTCTCTTCAGTTCTGTACAGAGAGCAAAGAGGAGGTGTTAGAAAATGATTGAGCACCTCAGAGTCATTGTGTAGAATTTACACAGATAAACTCACATTCACCCCTTCTTTTTCCTAACAGGTACATACAAAAGGACAAGAGCCACAGGCTCAGCATTCATTCAGAAGGGGCCAAAGGCCCTTTCTAAAGGCAAGTCATATCTGATGGAAAGGACTCATAAACTCTTTCTATGCAACACATCACCTTCTCGCATTAAAAAAACAAAACAAAAACAGGGAAAAAAAAAGTGGTCTCTTTTTTTTGGTCTCCCGTATCAGGCATGTTGGGTGTCAGAACACCAATTAGTGCTCGTACTAGTGACCAGTACAAATCACTAGTAGATAGGATGATCAAGCATCAAAGGCCCCTTTGGAGTGTCCTCTTGGTTTTGATACCTGAGGTGTAGTGTGAGTGAGTGAACACTGGCTGAACGTTGGGAGGAAGCAGCATGTTCTTAGCACGTGTGCCATGTCAGAGTCAGGAGAACGGCAACGCTTTAGGATAATCACAGGTAAACACTGCGAAATAAATCACAAGCCGAGTCTACTCCGAGCTGTCTGGATACAGTAAACGCTGCCCGTCAGGTAATCAGGGCTGTTTTAAAATAGCCACTGATAATTATTCGCAAGTACTAAGTACCACTCGAGCCAAGCCTGGCAGTGAACGTTACGGAACGGCTGTCGCTTTTAAAATATCCCTTCATTTGTAAGCAAGATTAAAATTGGAAGCCTAGGCAACAAAATGTAACGGCATGTGTATTTACTAAGAAACGTAGCTGTGCAGGATGTGTGCCTCACTACCGTAAAGAGAGCGCGACGCCATCCAGCACATCTGCTGTTCTTAGTGTTCAATGTGATTGTGTCCGAAGCGCAATGGGATGGCAGGGCACCGAGGGGTTTCAGTAGGGTGGCAGACCACAAGGTGGGGGTCACATGTTGTAAGGTTTTCAGTTAGTTGATGTCTGGCGTGAGGGGCGGCCCATCGAAGAGGCGCTGTAAGTGCGGGAGCGCTGCCTCACGGCCAATCGGCAAGGCAGCTCGAGCTCCTGGAAGAGGGGCATCCCTGTGATATCAGCCGCCTCGGGACGCTTGTTGGGGTTCGGTGACAGCATGCTGTGGACCATGGCCAGCTAAACAGGGAGGAAACAGACAGTAAAAATCTGTCAGATAACATTATCATCCATTTCTTCAACTGCTTTGCTTATAAAAACATTAGAATAATACAATACTAAATTAAATAATTAAAAAACAACAACAACAACTTAAATACTACGGCTCAGAACTACTACTAGCACAGTGAGATACTCAGGTAAGAAGTAATTTCCAGTGTCAGAGAATCACAGCTTATGCTCTGGGATTATGTTAATCTAATTACAAAGAAAACAGGTAAACAAGATCATAGGACCACACAAACAACAAATTACAGCCTCAGTTTGTAGTTCGGTGGTCAGTCCCATGCTTAATACAGAGCAGTAATTTAAAAAAAATGCTCATCTGTGTATTTGATTAAATAAGTCATTCTAATTGTAATTCGAGTATTAATATAAATCAGCAAATGAGTCATGCTGCTTTTAACTTTTCAGTGTGCAAACGGATTTTCATTTATTTTATAGTCTATTTAAATCTGTGACTGACTTCATTATAAGCGCTAGCGGCAACAGAAGCTATAATCCTGCATGGATTGTGCATACAGAAGACTTTCACTTAAACACTTGTAACAACATTCCCTTGGATTCTTTCGTTGATTAATTTTGACAGCTTCCTCTGTTATGATGCAAATGTATTGCAAGCTGGATTGTTTCGAATTAATTTGCCAACATTTCTGGCACTTAATAGACACTCTGGCTGTGTTGGATTTTGCTGATGTCATCCTTTGGGGGTTGCGTCAGGAAAGGGCATCCAGCGTGAAAATCTCCCAAATCAAACATGGGGAGCGACCCGCTGTTGCGACCCCTTGTGAATAAGGAATTAGACAAAAGTAACTTTTATGTGTTTGGAAGCAAATAAGCTCAGACAACAGAATCTTTTTTTAGGCTTTTGAAGATGAAGCACTGCTAAAGTTAGAGTTAGGGCTCCTAATATTATTATAGAGAGCTCAAATTATGAATTGGAGTCCTGCTGGCACCACTGATGAGAAGAAACCTCCCAATCCTGTATATCTTACATTTCTGGCTTAGATGCAGTGCATATTTACAGCCACTAGGTGGCAGCAGATAGCAACTCACCTCCTGAACATTGTTTTTGGAGAAAACCTCTGGGAAGCGCAGGACTCTCACTTCTGTCAGTGTCTGGAAGAAAGGATGTAAACACCTGTGAGCCGAGCTGTGCTAATGGCTTACCAGGTCCTTTGTTGCTGAGACAAAGACTTCATGGCTACTAAGAAACTGCCTGTGCATGCCTCACGTGAGCACTCGTGGGTAAAGCCAACACATAAACTAACGGCAACGACGAGAGAAATAACAATAATCAGCAATCGTGAATTCTTGATTTCTCAACACATAATGACATTGTAGGAGGCAGGAAGATAAACGGCCTCACAAGCTTACACACAATTGGCCAGCTGGGCTTCTTACTGAAGCCAAAATGAGATCATTTCATTTCAATCCGAATCATCCGGTCATTGAATCATTTCTTACGTTTTTCAAAAGTTCCACAACACATTTTATTCAAACCTTCATAGGCGCTGCAGCTCAGTAAGAACAAGTAAATAAGATGAACAGTAAATGTTTTTCATTATTTTTTAAGCTCAAAATTGTTTTTGGATGTTGAGATGTTTAACAGGATCCAGACAGCAAATATGCACAATTTGCAAAGGAACTCAAACCAGTTTTAGATCATGTTAAATACAAATTAATCCTACAATAATATTAATCTCTTGGTTGTTAAGGAAACCTAATTACAATGTAATTCACAACCCTTTTACAGATCCTAAAATAAAGTAATAATAAGCCAGGTTTATAAGGATATGTGTTTTCTGACTCACCCTCACTCTCTCCATCTGAGTCCTGAAAGGATACAGCAACTCAAACAGGATCAGACCCAGAGAGTATATATCCACTTTATGAGAGTAGGAGTTTCCAGAGAGCTGCAAGGACAAAAAGGAAAGCACATAATTAGTCTTGACTGCAGAAGCAGGAAACCAAGAACTAAATGTTGTTGTTTTTTTTCTTTAATGAACGGCGCTTCCTCACCTGCTCTGGGCTCATGTAGAGTTTGGTGCCGACCTGGCCCGTGTGGCGGGTGAGGAGTGGGGCAGGCGTGAGGGCGCTCGGTTCATCTTCATCTTCCTCCTGGTCCATTGCCGTCACCAGGCCGAAGTCTCCCACTTTCACTACGTCGTCCATGGTGAAGAAGATGTTGGAGGGCTGCAGGATCAGCAGTTACAGGTTACATCACGCGCACCACACAAAGAACGACGACAGCAGAGTGGTTTACAAAGCTCTACTTCACATGCTGCCCATAAAACAAACACAGTAACACACAACACTCTAATCCAGTCAAGTCTGAAGGAAAGTTTTTCTTCCTTAACTGAAGCTGCAGAATTTAGATGGTCACACACGCACAGACAATGTGTACATGTTCACCTTGAGGTCCCTGTGCATAAGCCCCTTGCTGTGCAGGAAGTCGACAGCTTCTGCAATCTGCAAGAAGATGTCCAGACACTGGTTGTGCTCCCTTTGCTCCAGCAGGCAGCGCTGAGCCATCCAGTCCTTCAGGTTCTCCTTCCGACAGAGCTGCATCTGGATGTACAGGTAGACCTGGAGACGGGGCGAGAGGATTCACCACATTACAATTTCACACTGCACTCTTAAAAACAGTGGATATATTGTTAAAAAAAACAAAAAAAAAAAACAAGAACCCAAAACTATTCACAAACCTTAGGTGAAGGTTGAACCCGCGGATTTGGAGGTGTTGTGGGGAGAGCCAGGGCGAGCGAGGTTGGCCGAGGAGGAGAGGAAGAGACGGGGGGGACAGATTCCTGTCGTCTGGTGTGTGACGAGGACGAACTGTTCTTCTCCGTCACCGTGCCAGGACTGGCTGGGCCAGAGGCAGAGTCCGTGTCTGCGTCGGCATCTCGATCGCAGCCCGAATCCTCGAACACAATATCAAAGGAAGAGGAAGTGCAGTCACTGGGACCGCGGGGAGGGCAGAGCTCGAACGAGTGGGGGGTGTCTGACGCGTCAGGGTCGGCCTGGCTGTCCCTCTCAGACATTAGGCTGTCGTGGCCCAGCAGCGGGGGGAAGGACAGGTTGGTGCCAAAGCCCACAATGCTGCCTGTGCTGCTGGAAAACAGCACATGATCTTTGGCTGATGCTTCATGAGCATCTCCTTGAGGGTTGAGGACAGGGGACACTGAGCTGGACACGGGTACTTTGACTGACAGAGCCTCCATGTGATCGAGGAAGCTCATTGGCCAGTCAGTGGTACTGAAAGAGAAAAAGGATTGTTGTTTCTCCCAATATTGATGCAAGACAAACAGAAGATGTGTGCCAATCATTTCAGCAGTTAAATAAGGACTCATGAACAACAGGCAGAAGGTGCTTTCAATGTAGTTCTTTCAGATTTTTGTCATGTGAGCTGTAAAAACAGCACAGTAGTAATATTACATGTGTAGTGCACGGGGACATGGTTCTAATCAATACATATCCACCAAAGCAATTAAAAGCAGCACACAGCAGACATCAAATTAAATTTTAAATACTCAATTTTAATGCGCACAAGATTTTTTTTATCCCGTGGCATTTTAACATCTGTGAATCAAATTAGCCAAGTGGGATAAAGATGTGTGGTGCACCATTTGTCACAAATGTCACTAATTAATGATTCCAGAGGGGACAGCTAGATTTTCATTGGATGTCCGCACGCTGGTTCGGCCAGCTGAGCTACAAAAGGTTTAAAAACATCTGGCTCACCTTGCATCTTTCAGCCACCTCTGGTCCATTTCCTCCTGCCAGCCCTCAGGAGGGCTCTCTTGCCAGGCGTTGAAGTAGCGAATGATCCCCGGGTGCTCCAGCTTTGCTAAAGCCTTCACCTCTCGCATCACCTTCTCCCGGGCCAGCTCCCTGAACGACAGAAAAACGAAAAAATGAAAAAAAAAAAAAAAACCCCACTGAGGTTGTAATAAGCCACAAGTCTCCACCAAAGGTTGAATAAGCACAGCAGGCCTGAAAATAATTAGCCCCTTTCACACGAGGATCAAACTATAATGCCACTTTTGCTTATTTATGTAGAACCAGGCAAAGATTGTGTAAAGCAAACCCAGTGTGCATGTTCAGATAGTGTTTCAGCAATCGGGGCGGGGAGGGGAAGGAGCCATGGCATGTAACACACTGTGGCAACCACGGTGCCTCTGCTGATGACTAAAAAGGTACAACAACAATGGCTCCCCATTCTTTTTAAAGTGAACAGGCAATGCAGGTGGAACAGTCCCGGCTGGAACAGACTGTGTGAGAGACTAACATCTGAGCTTTGTTGCATCAGTGAACAACAGGACTAAAAGAAAAACACACAGAGCTACTGCAGCTAAACATTTATTACCCATGCTTGTCAGCATAAATTATAGCGCACAGATAATATTTGTTCTGAAATGTCAGCTTCCTCTGCATGGGTTTCTGTGTTTAGACCAGTGGGCTGCTGCTTACATAACTCAGTTTAACAGCTTTAGAGAAAACAGAGATAAAGGAAGAGCTAATAGCCTCCAGCTAAGGAAGTCTGGCGCAGCCTAGCGAGAGATGCGCTACCTATTGGGCAAGCGGATTCTTTTGATGGCGTAGTTGCAGTCGTCCACTTTGTTGCGGGCTTCAAACACGACGCCAAACCCCCCGCGGCCGAGGCACTGCACTGGCTCAAAGTCTGTCAGGTACCTGAGGAGAGACACTTTGGTTAGCAGTGTGGAAAGACGACTCGCGGCCCTCCAAGTGCTTTAAAATTATCATCTGGATCTCTGATAATTTAAAAAAGACCAAGAAGGAGGCCTTTTAAATTATAAATCCCAATTATCAGAGAGGGAATTACAACCAGTGTGTAAGATAAGTGCTTTGTTTTTTCACTGCCTTGGCCACACTCCACTTTAAGGTCAGCAAAAATACATTTCTACAAACCAAAGAGAAACTTTAAACTTTATGACTTTCTGGCAGGTTTACTTCCCACTTAATCTCTTAAAGAGAAGACATTATTTGCAGTTGCAGAAGTTTTCAAAAGCAAGCATAGCTTGCCTTTAAACTAAAGCAACAGCTGTCACAGTGTTGCATATTACATGTATCTCACGGTTTGGCACGTCAAACAGTTCCAGCAAGGATCATTATAAAGTTCTTTTTATGCAAAATCATTGTGTTTACTGCTGCGTAAGACACAGGCGCACACCGACTCCATCCCCTCCACCCTGTCAAAACATCCCTGCTCGGTTTGCTCAGGGGGATTAAAAGGCTCTTATTAGGATGTGTGTGGGCAGCATGCGATTCAAGGTTCCTGATCCCAATCTGCCTCCTAATGATCCTGACTCATGCCCGCCGCAGCTGCTGCAACAGCCGCCGGTTTTATTTAAGGAAAGTTGTTCGGCAAAAGTGATTTGCATGGACTGCAGAAGCAGCAGCAGCTTTGAAGGAAGGGGAGGGGGTGGGGTGGGGTGTTTGTCATTTTCGGGTGGATCAAAAAGAAGAGAATGTGCAAGTGGTGACACCAAGAGGACAGAAATTTGCAGATTAAAATCAGTTTTCACTTCTGTTCCAGGAGGGTGAGGCTCACAGATGTAAACACGCAAAAACCCTCATCGATCACACTGCGGGAGGGCAGCGGCAGCCCATAAATTACGGCTCCTGATCATATTTAGAAATTCTGACAATGTCCTGACAGTGATGTAAAACGACACTCTGACCCTGAGGCAGATGCTGCTGTTGTAGGGTGCGGTCTGAGGGGACCGAGGCCATTTTCATTTGATGCCAAACAGCTGAGTTACCCAATCATGAACTACTACGATTCATATCGCCCATCTCTGCCTTGTCCTATCAAGGCAGGTTGGAAGACCACTGGTCACCATGGTAACAGAGCCGAATCTGTAGCTACACCTTGAAAAAGTGATGCTGGCATCTGACTGAACTGTACAGAGCACTCCCGGCACATTGCTAAGTGAAGTTCTCCCGAATCATTGCAAATATTTTTGACACGGGACACGTTTTGTTTAACGGTGCGCCTTACCTGGATACATATTCGCTGGAACGGGTCTCCATGGCAACCGGCTCTTTGGATTCCACAACTTCAAGGTCAAACTTGCTGTCTGTCTGGCACTGTGTCTCCGACTCTTTCCGTTGCTTTTAGGGACAGGAGGATGACAAAAATGACACGTTACAAACACGACAAACAACAAACAAACAACAAGTTTACCTTGTTTGTGGCGTATTGGGCAAGAAACACTTAAAGATTTAACAGTCGCAAGAAAAAGAAGGTGGAAATGTATACAGCTAACCCCTATAAACATGAAAACAAAAAGAAGTATCCCACATAGACACTAGACCCTGTTTCTTGCTTTCGGATGGCATGGATGGGGATCGTGAGTGAACAGCTGGGTTCAGGTGTTAAAAGTTCGACTGGGATCAAATCAGGCCTGGCAGAGAAACATTCATAGAGTAATCAATGATGTTGACTGCAAGTTTAGGATCACTGTTCTGTTTAAAGGCGAGTTTCAAGTCAGGTACGAGGCCCCACTAAAGCAAAACTAGTTTTCTTTCTTGAAAGTATCGCTGCCCTTTGCACAGTTTAGCTTTAGTTTTCCTGTCATTTCTGCAGAAAAACAGCCGTGAAGCACATTGCTGCCACCACTGGGTTTACCTGCTGTGCTACTGTTGATGAACTGGTTCAGATTGACAGAATTGAGGTCAGTCACATTTTCAATCTTGTGTCTTTCCACCATGACAAAATCCCTGCCACTCACTGCAGCACTCCAACAATCATTAAAAAAAATCCTGATTGGTGGAGTGCTGCAGTGATGATTGTCCTTCTGATTTTTCTCACATTTTCACATAGGATCACTGGAGTTCAGACAAAGTGACCTTCAATTTCTCCATGAACTCTTTTACCAAGGCTCTTCTCCCCCACTGCTTATTTTTTTATCCTTTTAAATATTCCTCTTGGGATCTTTAATCCAGCTGAAACTGCATTGCAGCATTTCCCAGATCTGTGTGATGACACAAAGCTGTCCATCAGCTCAGCAGGCTTTTCTTTCAAACTAATGACTGGCTTTTTGCATTTGTGAGCCTATTAGACAGCAAGGTATCTGACATCCAACGAAATGAATTTCCACAAGTCTACCTCAATAAACATACAGTGATTCAGAGAAATTAAAAGGGAAGATAATCTTTTTTAGATTTCATAAGGAAGTCTGAACACTTTCTGATCACACAGTAAAACTAACAGTATCCAGTTTTTGTTTGAAACTAACTTTTTAAGCAATCAAGCTATCCATCCTCCAGCCCCTGGGAACCCTGAACTAGATAAGTGGAAGAACATGGATGTTTCCTGATAAAGAAATCATTTTGTCATCCATACCAGCTCATTATTGCAACAGTAATTGTGAAAAAAATTGAGACAAAAGATCTAAAATGTTACAAACATTACACGGCAAACATAATGACCAGTAGGCACCGTCGGTGCGGCATTAATGTTGCGGACTGTGTCTTGGCTCTTACCCTCACGTAGGCCACAGGAGCAGGAGGGTGGAAAAACTTGCGTACAATGTAAGTGGTGGTGGCAATGCAAAAGATGATGGTGCCCAGAATCTCCTTCCACCAGGGTAATAGCAGCACGGGATCCTTTCTTCTTCGATTCTCACCTCCTGCCCCGTTTCCATTTATGAGACTTATGGCGGTGTCACGCTTCTCTCGGTAACGCTTGCTGTAGGGGAAGTAGTAGCCATTGTCTGGAGCAAGAAGAAGCAAAAATCCTTCAGTCCACTTCAAATCATTTCAACTTTAACAGCTAGAATGTGCGTACGGAGTAACATTGCACAATTAAACTCTTACCGTATGGATACTGGAGGATGGACAAGGCTCCATTGCTGTATTCGTCGTGGGAGAACTTGTCGTTATTTAGACACTTGTCGAATTCATCAGAGCCGACCAGAGCTGGTGTCCGAGATGGAGAATCTGCATCAAGGACAAGATGAATAACTTCTTGTATCTCACAAGAAAGACTGATCAATATGGAATAAAAGGTTTTGGACGATGAAGAATGAAGGGCAAAGCTTTGGGCTACAGGGAGCATGGTGATAGATTGTGTCCACGTGACATCAAATACTTCTTGGAACATGGTGTAACTTTGTTCTTAAAGATGGGCTTTGGCCGTTCTGCCCTGACTCTGCATGTAATCATGAATTTAGTCCCTTTGGTGCTGCAAACTTACGTATTAGAGGCTTCCATTTGACAGTGGGTAGTGGAATTATGTCCTTCTCTGAACCGATGGCTTTGGAGGGAAATTTTTCCGTGATTTTTACCGATGACTGAAGGTAGAGCTGCCCCTGAAACATCCCTAAAAAAAACCCCCAACAGTCAACACGGTTATCCACAATCACTGGTTCCTAACCCTTACAGGAATAGTGAAGCGTCTGTATACATGTGTAAGAAGTTACCTAGGTAAACACTGGACTCTGCAGATTCCCGCGCTTTCTCTGGATCTTCGTCTTCCTCGTCTTCCTCTGTTTTGGACTGGCTGCTGTAGGTGGTGTCGTCGAACAGGCTGATTGGCGTAACTTTACCACCCCCCACCAGCCAAGCTGAGGCGATGGGAGTGCAGAACTGCACGACACACGTGAGAATGAGTAGAAATACTTTAATGAGCTCCACAGTCAAAGTCATGAAGCACTGAACTCCATTAAAGCACTAAAACTCGCTAATAAATAAGTGACCAGAGGATTTATTTTAAGCATCTAACCTGATGTTCCCAGACCAGCTGTGCATCAGGCCCGGTGCTGAAAGCCATGACCTTCCAATCAGGAACAGACACTTTGATAACTAGGTCCAAATGCTGGTTTTGATTCTGGTGGTTCTCGGCCTGCCGTTTCTCTGTTGGCTCATCAGCGATGACCCACTGACTCTCCTTCCAGCTGTCACCATTTGCTAGTTCGCCCTCCAGGAAGTTAATTCCAGGCTGCATCTCCGGAACGAGTTTCAGCTCAAAGTTTCCGACACTAAAGTTCCACCTTGCACAAACAGCGAAGATGCATGATTTAAATAAAAATCCCTGCCTTATACGTTTCTGGTCTTTCATGTTACCCTGTGGTTTCCTTCTACTTACTACTGCTTGTTGTTCACTACTGTTAGTGACTAAATAGCCAACTTTGTTAATAAAAACAACGTCAGTAGCTGCTCTGTGAATTAGCTTTGATTGACTCACTTCTCCATCCCCGATCGAGGCCTGATGGCTCGCACAGTCTTCTGAGTCCTCTGCAGCAGGAGCACATCTTCGGTCTCCACCTCGTCCTCTTCCCAGCGACTGCAGCCCCCCGCAGAGCAGATGTACCGAAGCTGAGGAAAGCAACAGGGGGGAAATTACAAAAGTCGGTTATCCTACTGCGCCGGACTGGTTAGTATGCTAATAGATTTGACACGTGTTAACCTGTCCTATCAGGTTGTTCTTGAAATTGTTTCACAGACCTTGCCACTGTAGGCCCCCAGGCCATAGGTGGTGAGGGATTTCCCCCCGACCAGGACTGTGTCCTCTCCAATGCGATATGACGACTCCAGCAGGGACTCGACGCTGAAAGGCACTGCCTCCATGCTCTCTCTGTCCCGGTTCCACTGAAACAAGGCACCATCCAGGGAAGGTATTACCATCTTATTGCCAAACACCTGCAACAACAAAAAACAAACAAACAAAAAAACAAAACGCAGAGTCAGGTTAGTTTTGGTTTCTAGAAGAAGACCGCTCTAAATAAAATAAAAGGAACTTCTGAAAACAGAAAAGATGTGGCAATGATTTATATTGATATTTTTTAAAATAAGCATCTTAAATTCAGTCTCTAAATTGCCAGGTCAGCGTTGCTAATCAAAATTGGGACAATGTTTATATTTGTTATGAGTTTGGCAACAAAATAACTGCCTGTGAGCCCCCACAAGTGGCAGCTGTATAAAACCACAATGAGCGACAATTTATCAAAACGCCACTACCAATAAAACAAACTAAAAAAAAAAAATTCATTGGGGTTATATGTATAAATTTTGTTTGTTTGTTTTTTACAAATACTATAAAAGCTCTAGAGCTGCTGCATAAGTTACCAGCACTCCTCTAACATTGTGTTTCAATGCCACACAGACAAATCACTAAAAACAAAATGATTCATTAGGAATGTTGTTTTTTTGGCCCACGCAGTTTTCCTTTCGTACACACGGCTGTTTTAAACTAGCAGTTTTTATGTATTTCTTTATTTCTTTTCTCCCAGCTTAAAAAGACAATCCTTAAAAAACACAAAAACACTTTGCCACACAGACAGTGCTGGCCGACACACATCCACCCACACAGCAGCAGCTCCGGCCTCCACACGCTTGGACTCAATCCACAGACGTGGAACCATTATACAACTCAAAGCCGGAGTAATTAACTCAAATCTTTATAAAAGTGTGCTACCCTCAACTCTGTGCGTGTGTGTGTGTGTGTGTGTGTGTGTGTGTGTGTGTGTGTGTGTGTGTGCGCGCGCGCGCTCTATTAGGTGCTGGTTCAACAAGGATGACATCATTGCCAAAACCCTGAGCCTAATCCTGATTTAACCTCTGCAGATTTAGCTGTCAAAAGAGAGTCTTTTTCATTCGATGTCCAACTTGTGACTCACTTCTATCAACAAACTCACGAGTGACATAACAGCAGTTTTGGGTCCAATTCTTGGCCTTGTTGATGCTAAACAGGTGCTATTGAGGTTAAAACTGCAACCAATCAGTCAGTAGCCTTGCTTCGGAAATCCTATCAGACTCGAAAAAAGTCAGAGCTTTGTGGCGGATTAAGAAAAATGCCAGCGGGGAGCAACGTGTGGCAGTTTGATTTATTAGAGAGCACAGGCAGGAGAAGCGGTGATGTCATCTTTTCTTTCAGAGGGAGGGGCTGGTTTAGACACAAGATGGGGATAAATTTAGCAAGTGAAAGGAGGAAGGGTTAGCAATCTGACCATCACATCACACCACACTGGTACTACTGAGGAGCTTTACAGCCGGGGGTGGGGGGTATTCTTATAGCCGTGGATGAGTCATCCTGCTCCCGATGGTTTAATCCATCTCTCTGATCCAGCCCAGTTAGCTTCATCTCAGCTGTTCATCTTGTCAATGTCCTCCAAGTCAGAAACACGGTCCCCATATGTACTCTGAGTGACTGTCCTACAAACCACGAGCTCAGCAAATTACTGAAAGTCAATCACATTATCATTATCTCAGACTTATTGTAAAACTTTCTCCAGTGGCTTTTACTTGTAAATAACTTTTTTAAAAAGTGCTTAAGCATATTTTTTTCTGCATTATCACAGTAAATTTAGCTTTAAGGACCCAGCTGAGATGCCTAATTATTGTTTAGAAATGTAATTATTTATTTAACTAATATTTAACAGGGCTTAAAAATCATTAGATCTCAAGTGGTATAGCTTTAGAGCTCCTTCGGGGTTCCTTTATCAGGTATCACTGAGTGTGCACCTTGTGTTTCACTCACTTTATGCACCATGCTACATTTAATCATTTGTTATTATTAATCTCTGGCTGCCAGAGGTTCCTTCCTGCTAAAAGGGAGTTTTTCTTTCCCACTGTCGCCAAAGGGTTTGCTCATAGGGGCCATCTGATTGTTGGGGTTTTCAGTGTTTTCTCAGTATTAGGTGTAAGGTGTTATAGGGTCTTGGTCTAATAACCTAAAGTGCATTGAGGCAACGGTTGTTGTGATTTGGCACTATATAAATAAAATTAAACTGAACTGAATCAGGAGTTTTGTGGTGTGATTTACTTTGACAACTCTCTAATGATGAACGGCACTTAAAGCTGGCAGTTAAACGATTAAGACGAGTTGAGCTGAGTTCTTAAGGTATTTACAACTAAGTGACTTTGCTAACAGCTCTCTTTTTATTACTGGGGTATGCTGCCTACAATGATCTGAAACTGTACATTTTAATGTATTTGTAATTTTTTTTTTTTTTTTTTTAAATACGCTTTCATTATTTAATTTGGAAATATTCAGATTTAGATGAAAACACGATGTTGATAAGGGAAGCTTCCTACAAACCAGCTGGCAGTGTCACAAATTTTGATGTTTTTGGCAACAGACCCGCATAACATTATCAGAGATTCATGGTATTACTCACCACTCAGTCGACCTTGATATATATTTGTTAGGAAAATTTGCCAATTAAAATCTGAGCCATAAGGATTACAGAGATCTCGCTATAACTCACAATATGTTTGATTGAAATAACAGTCTGTCGCTCTACAGTTGGAATTAGATTATTCGAAAAGTAAAAAAAGCTTTAAGGATGGGAAAGTAATTTTATAATCTGTACCAACCTGTATTTGATTATATGATCACCAAAGTATAAAGATATCAAGTGATGCTTATGAACATCCCACCTCCACAATCTGTTTTGTTCCCATGTCTTTGTCTGCTGTGTTTGCCCTGGTCTATTTTTGTGAGAGAGCTTCAGTATCTTTTATAGTCAAACTATTGGTTATTAAAATAACAAGGTCTTAGATTAAATGCATTTAATTTGTAGGATGTGATAAAATATTCAAGAGTTAACTTAAAAAAAACCCCAAAAAACTGACTTCTCAGCACAAACGTTTTCCTTCTCTTTGTGCCTCATTTACTATGAATTTTAGGAGCTTATTAATCTTTAAAGAGCTATAAGACAGACTCATTCAGGAAAAATATGCACCATTACTGAGAGACCAGAGCCATTCACTTATTTAAGATACTCATCTACTGGCTAAAAGAAACATCCAGCCTCCAGCGTGCACGCTCAAATTATAGTTATCATTTTTCTTTATATAACCACTTCTTCATGAAGGCATTCATCCAAATGTGCTTGATGATTATTTGATGTCACTGATCATACCATCATATTCCACCCCCGGGGCGTGGGGGCAGATTAAGGGTGGGGGTGGGGGGTGGGAGTGTGGGGAGCCGTAATGTGCGCAATTGTTTGTGTGTGTAAGCTGCTGCCTACGCTCCGGTGAGCCTGTCAAACAGTGTCCCCTCTTACCCACCGCTAATATGCCATGTTTGGTCCACGAGGCTACTGCTCTACTTCAAGGTGGCAGACCGACCGCGCGAGAGAAACGCTAACACCGCGGGTTCAGATAAAACACACGAAGCAAAACAATCAAAACTAAATCAGAGCAGCTGGAAGGCGGCTCTGGGAGATTTATTGCGAGTATTTGTCCCCGTGTTGTAATCAATCAAATTCTCCCAATTCATTCATTCGCACTGCATGCCAGCAGAGAGAGTGTGTGTGTGTGTGTGTGTGTTGGAGTGAGCATGTGTCTATTATGTGATGACATCATCTCTGCTCTGAGGCATTACCTCACCTCCCTAATCACCCAACCTCTTCTTTCTTCATTCCTTTAGCCCCACCCCCACCCCCCTGTGTGAGTCACTCCACATTGGCACCGACTCTACTGTCTAATGTGCGCACACCCACACACACACACACACACTTGAACCCCCCTCTAAGCTCAGGGGTAACTTTGCTTTTTGAAGTGATGGCTGCTTTTTCTGCAGACAATGCTGTTTGTGGGTCTGTCCCTCATTTTATTACTTAAAGAAAAAAAAGACACACTCTACAAGATGCAGCAGGCGACTGGCTGTTTCCGGCCCGGTGTGTGGAGGCCAGCCAATAGTATAGCATGAGACCCAACCCCCCAGCCTCTGATCACTGAGCAGAGTGGTGTCTCAGGGACCCGGCAAGCACCAGCAGGCAGGCAGGTGGGGGGGGGGGGGGAATAGAGGTTGCAGGAGCAACTGGCAATGCTTCCCACCTGCCTTTGCCCCCACCCACACCCCCTCACCCCAGGGTAAGAGAGAGAGGAATCACAGGTAAACAAGGACAGAGAGGGTAAGGCTGGATTAAAACTTAGAAAGTATATTAGAAAAAACAAACAACACACACACACACACACACACACACACACACACAAAAACAAACGAAAAACAAAACAAAAACACAAACAGCCCACACTCGACAGATCACAACAAGTGACGTCACATCGCAGCAAGTCACCGAGTTCAGAGCTGACAGGCATCTCTCCTCGTTCCGCTCCGTCAGCCAAATGAAAGCCAACAGGTGAAAAAAGAAAGCACACAAACACACACCATACTCCATCACAACAGAAGCACACTGGAAGATGACAGGAGGATGTTACATGTGTGCATGCCCATGAATTTCATGACACTTCTTATGAAGTGTCAGCATACTGTTATAGTGAGTATAACTGCTTTTAATTCTTTATATTTAGAAAAGTTTGCATTCATTTATGAGAGAACTAAAAGCCTTTGTAACTGCGCAACTCATTTAATGTTGTAAACAATACACGTTAAACCAAATTAACATCATACATCGTCAACCCAGCTGGAAAACATTCTTTACATAGTTTGCCAGTTTGAGTTTTATAAGTGAATAATAAACAATTTCGATTTAAAATTTAAATTTAAAAATTGATTCTCCTCAGCGTGCAGAGAACCATGCAGGACATCGAGTCATTTAAATTTAAAAGGGTTGATTCCGATGACGCTGGTGGAGAAGCTATCTTATGCATACTGTACATACTGTATGTGCATCACAGAATCTCTAGAGGTTCTCCACACTTGCAAGAATCCCAGATTTTGAAAGAAAATGGTAATGAAGCTCGATTCATTTTCCAAATCTCACAGACGGCACGTTTCAACCACATGCCCACGAGATGCTCGAGTCTAAAGGCTGCCTTTGAAATGCAACCCAGCATTATAGCAGCTGATTTCAGTGATTAGTTCCCTTCTTCTAATTGTAGCTTTACTAATCAATGAAGTCAGCAGCTGTAGTTTTAAAAGCTGGAACCAAAAAGAAAATTAAGCATGTGTCATTCAGACTTTTCAGGCTGAATGACACATGCTTGAGTATCACTTCACCCTTCATTATGAAAGGTCCTTAAATATTTGAATGAAAGTCTCCCACAGTGAGTAACTCTGAATTGCTATTTTGGGACTGCAGCTGCTTATTTTACACTTTCATTTTATACACACTGTTACACCAGTTGTATTTCCTTTATCATTTGGTGAATAAATACATATATATATCTGTGCTATACACCACATAATCAAAGAAATTTCTAGGAAACATTTACAGCAAACTGCAACGCGACCCCTAGAAAAACAGGATATCAGAAATGTTTTAAACTTAATGAACTACGTCTGGATCGCTCTGTTATTGTTACCTCAGTAATGAAGCAGTCAGAGTTCCTTACATTCAGACATGCTCTACCAGCACCAGCAGACTAACATTAAACTGATCTCAGCAGCCACCCAGACCCTTGTTAGTATCAGAGGCTTTTTCCCTGAGGCAAAACTCTCGCAGAGAGCGAGTCCACATCAAAGTGAACCATGGGCATGTTTCTAGCATGCAACACTCTGGTCTCGCTCTGGGCTCCACTTCACTTTCAGCACGTCTGTGTGGGCGGTTTAAGCTTCAGTATACATGTAGAGACGAGGGTCTTGCTGTGCTTGTATGTGTAAACTACTACAGTCAACAAAGAGGCTAATCCTCCAGGCGAATCAGCTACTCTCAGATTTACGCGGGGGTGTGAAGCATGTCTGGTGTCTATTGCGCTGTGTGTGTGTGTGTGTACATATGAAATGTATGTAAGCAACAACAACCCTTGCTTGACTGTTTAAAGTGCAGAGAGTTCAATTACTAGTCTTGGAGTCTGCAGAGAGAGAGCCAGGAGGGACAGTGTTTGTTTTGAGGAAGAGACAGAGATGAGACTGCATCCTTAACCTCCCCCTGACATGTAGATTTTGGAAATCATCTTTTAGTAGATATTAATAACACAAACAAAGGTGTTTTAACCTGTGTAAGTGGCTTAAGTTGACCTTTGCTTATTCCTTAAGGCTGGTATTTAAATTTTAATTCCTGCAGTGGCATTTAGTCAGACTAAAGCTAAGTTTTCCTCCTATTTTCCACTGAAATGAAAAGAAAGTAGGGAAACAAAGACATGGATTTACCTCAGGTTTGCTGAGGCTGGAGGACACTAAGGAACCTGAACCGACATCTAGGTCCCACTGCTTCCTGCCCTGGTTGTGAGGATCTAAAGCAGAGATCCGTCCATCCAGGGTACTGATGATTACCAGAGACCTGTGGATAGAACATACACATACTTTGAAATACTTTCCAAATGAGGGTTCATAGAGCTATCACCGCACATCAACACAAGGGCGCCGGTATACCGCTGTTGAAAAGACTGCTTAAGGCTCGTCTGTGCACTCATGAGCACTCTGCGAGCTGATTTTAAATTTCAAAAGACATTAAAGCCGACGTTGCCCTTTAATGCAGTCCTATAAGTGTGTGTGTGTGTGTGTGTGTGTGTGTGTGTGTGTGTGTGTGTGTGTGTGTGTGTGTGTGGGGGGGGGGGGGGGGGGGGGGGGCGGTGTTCTAACCCCTTCACAGATAAGACACTAAAGGGCAAACTGTGAAGGGGTGTCTTCTCTTTTCTAGTCTGCACTTGTTTAGGAATCAAGGTGACCTTCAACAGCAGCTAACAGCACATCTGTGCCATGACAAACCCCTTTGTTTTAGTTTTTGGGGGGTGGGGGGCATACTAACTACAGAGGATGATCACCATATGTACCACACACACTGTGACTGTGTGAAACCATGAATTTTCAGTTATGGTTTATCATATCTATCAAGTATGTCAAAGGGGCTAAAGTCTTTCACCAATAGGAGAGAAGATTTTATAAATTATTGTTATGATAGTATTGTAATCATCCCCCAGCTCTATAGCTATACCAAATTACTTTATCTAAGGTAAGAAAAATAATAATAAAAGTACTTTTATTCCCCATTGATGTGCAAACGCAGCAATATTTAATAACAACTCTGTTTTCTTTTTCCTCTCATTTTCCTAGTAACAGCCTGACTGAAACATTATTGAGACATCCCGCCCCACCCCTCCACTCGGTTCTTAGGTCTTCTGCCGCATTGCTTGTCAATCATGTCCAGAGCTCCGGTGGGGGCAACATCCCAGCTATTGATCTGTATCCGTCTCGAGGAGCTGCTGTCAACAGGGCATTTAGCTTTATTTAACTGGTGAGGGTCTGCCGTGTACACATGCAGTTTCTGAGAACCCACTGCTCTCACATCCACACAGCTGGGACCCAGGCAGCTTCCCTCTGTTGGCCACCAGAGCACACTGGGATTTCAACCATCTCCCTCAAGGGCAACTAGACAGAAGTTGCTGAGGGAAACTAGTGAATACAATATTACAATATTATGTGTTCACTTTCCCGTGTTGCGCTGTCACATCCAGTTTGGTTCATTTACATGCACAGTGACATCTATCAACTAGCTTGAGTACATTTAATAATAGCATCATCCACTGCATCTATCACTTAGACTGCTAATGATTGGCCATAATGCCTTATTGATTTCTGCTATCGAACAGTCTTCAGTCATGAAGGGGAAGGAGCATGTTGGAGGATGTTAAAGCTTTTGGACAACTTACAAATTGATTGTTTCTGAGAGTGCAAATCAATTTTAGGAAGGTTTCTCTTCTGTTACGCCGCAGTCGCTGACACATTCACGGGGAGCTGCACGCGCCGCTGTGGAGCAGCAAGACTGCAAGTCTGCATAAAAATGCAAATAAGATCACTTAACAGTAATGGGCCATGTGTCTTTCAGGCCTATCGAAGCCAAGATTATCTCCCCCAAATCTGCTCCGAGCATTATCAGCTTCGCCACTTGCGCTCAAGAGTAGCGTACTGAGAAAAACATTGTTTTTTTTCCTTTTCTTTCTTTTCTTTTCTTTTTTTAAATCCTCCAAGCCACCAATAAAAACAGAGCGCTAAAGCCCGCTCTCACTCTCTCAATTGGCTGCGAGACCCTGCCAAAAATATTTGGCTGATTGGTTGTTGCTAAGCAGTCGAGTCTCTGAGAAGGCGGAAGCTTTCGGCGGCCTTCGCTCGGCCAGACCCGCCCCCACCACCACGGAGTCATGCTGTGAATGTAGAAAGTGATGAAGAAGTCGCTCAAGTTCAACTTCAGAGATGGAAGAAGAGTAATCAGGAGATATAAGAATTTCACTCGGCGAGGGAGATCAAAGGCTTTTGTGGACTCTTTGTACTCCAGATAAAGGATAAGAATGAGTAGATTTGAGGGTGCGGGCTGGGGGAGGCACTTAATTTTACAACTTAGGTACCAGGATAGAGATGGAGAAAACGAGCTGTGGGGGAGGGAGCAGCTACGAAAATAGCAGTTAACCAAAAACTGTGACACAAAACAAATAGCCCTACTGTATCATTTAGAGCTGGAGGCAATTTATTTTCCACGTCTGAGCCCTGAGACGCTGCAGCACTGCTCATCACCAAAGGGATAACATGTAGCCTGTGGGGCTGCTGCTGCCAGCTGTGACAGACGCAGGCGGTGGAGACACTGAAGAGTATGTTTGAATGGAGACTGAGCAAAATAAAATTTAAAAAAAAAAAAAAGGAGAAAAAAGGGAAAGAGAGTGTTGTGAGGCTGCCAACACACTGGGGGTTGTTAGTGTCCTCGCCTGTAATGTTGTCAAAAGTGTCATAATAGTCCTGACTGCTTCTTCAATCACAGAGCGTATGGCGGAGCAGGGAGCCAATTAGCCTCACTCTCGCAAGACTCTACTCCTCAGAGATGCTCGGCCTCAGTCTGCTCACACCGGCAAAGCTGAGCTGCTGGTAAACACACTCCCATTGAAGGAAACAACCAGGATGTTTACACAGGCTGAGTCTCCAAGGATGCGAGGAACCGCCGAACCGGGCCAATCCCAGCAAGCCTGCCGTGTTTCGGCAGCCAATGGAAGCTCTGTTTTTCCCTGCTCGTTTAGCCAATGGGTGGCGAGCTCTGCGGACTTCGAGCCAATGGCGGAGCACGGATGCTTGTAACCATGCAACAGCAAAGCAGCCCGGGCTGTGGAGTTCTGCTGCCGCGCTGCTGCCGCTCAGCCGAACTCACAGCCACTGAGAGGCAGAGAAAAAAAAAATATGAGAGCATGGGGAGCACGTGGTGAGAAAGTTATGGATGCAGCTCTGAGCCGGCCGCACCCAATACCAACACAGCTGCACCAGCAGGAGGAAAGGAAAAAAAATGGGTCATGTGCAATCCTTTAAACAGTGCACTGTCTGACGGGCAACGCCACAGAAAAGCTCTAAATATGACATTGTCGATTACCACGGCAATGCAAGCAGAGCTGGCCGCTTCAAAAGAGACAGCAAAGGGTGTCGCAAATGTGCTTGACATGACATCAAAATGCCACTTACCCTAAGGTGACATCTTTCATGAAAGGTCACATAACACCAGAGCTTAATCACAGATTAATGTGATCTGAAGGTTTACATAACTGTCCCTGGACCTGCTAAATAAACAAGTGATCATGTTTGTAGGTCTTTGTCCCAGCAGGAGAAAGCCTTCAGTGGCCTCAAGTGGAAAAGCTGTGGCGAATAGTTGGCCATACATGCATGGCGAGTGCAGCACAGAGAGCACAGGGTGTGGTTTTTTAACAGAAAAAAAAACAACTTCTAGTACAAGCATAAAAACACACACACACCATTTAAAAGTGTCACTATCTCTCTCCTCCTCTTTTCTCTCCTGCAGAAGTGCGCTCTTCTCTCCAGCCTCACACGTGGTAAAATATAAACTCTATGGCGCCACGCTCCTGCCGCCCGATTGGCTGGGGCGCAGCTCCGATCCGCGGATGTGATTCGTTGTTGCTAAGCAGTGAGGAGCTGTTGAGAGTGAAAACAAGACAGCGTGGTCCTGCTAACTACCAGCCAACTCTGGAGTTTTCATCCTCCCCTCCCTCCTTTTCTCGCTCCCGTTCTCTCAGAGTATCGCACCTTTTTTTTTTTGCCTCTGCCCCACCCATACTGCAGTGCTGCTAGACGGGGGTCCTGCCGACTTACCGAAATAGCCACTGACCTAATAAATTCACTCATTCTGATAATCGGATTCGAACAACACTGCTGTCAAGCAGTCACACGTTCAAAAGACTGTTTACAGTTTCTACCTCTGTACATGCGAGCATCTTCTATGATCTCGGACTGTGTTCATCAAGTGCAGAGAAATTCAGGAGGTCAGACACAAAGACTCTAAAGGTCAGCATTAAAAAGCACCAGGCAGCACTTAAAAAACAAAACATGGTTACATAAGGAACGGACAATGAGGATAAAACAGGTAAAAAGATCTTATATAAGCTCGTTTAAAGCCACTGTGAGCTTGGTAAGTGGAGTTATATATTCAGACCTCTGCAGGAAAACAAGTGCCGGGTTTAAAGAAGCCAGTTTTGAGCGATCAATTACGAGCTTCTCCAGTGATGGAGTTCAATCAGCTTCATCGCGACCTGTTATTTTTGGGGACAGTAGTGTCTATTATTAAAACGCACTCAGCAGCTCCCTGGTTACACAGAGCAGACTAAAGATACAATGTGAGGAAAATGAAAAAAAATAAAAACTCTTCACTTCATCCTTTACCTAACTATAGCCAGACCCGTGCAGTCAACTCAAATTCTGAGCACCAGCCCGTCTACGACGCAATTGGCCGCCAAGTTGCCCAGCTTGGCCGATTGGCTGTTGCTAAGCAGTAGGCTGGTGGGAGCCAGCCTGCGAGCACGGCGGCCCAGAAGAGCTGTTGCAGCTACGGGGCCCTGAGGGTGGGTGGGGCGGGGAGGGGGCAGTCGGGGGAGCACGTTCAAACAGAGCTGCTGTCCTCTCACCTCCAAGTGCTCCCGAAGGTGCTGAAGGGCCCCGTGGAGCACTTGCTGGCAGAGGCTTTAAACTTGGCAGGGCAAACACACACACGGTTCGCACATATACACACACTAAAGGGTTATATCCTATATGTACACATATACGTGCGCCGAGACAGACGTAAACACCACGTCTCCAGGGCGACGTTTACGGCACGAGGATGAAAGCGTTAAAGGTGAAGCGACAGCCGACACAACAGCAGGCTCGTCGCACGCTGAATGCCGGATCAAAGCAAACATCTACAATATTTATAGATTACAGGATAGAGAAGTGGAAGGAGGGGCTTTTATAAATGACAGAAATTGAAAAACGCTGACATCTGAGCGCTGACTGGTTTTCAAGAGTTTGCCTTTGAAGTGCTCGACTCCCAAATCTCAATCAGAAGTAGAAGAAAACAACAACAACAAAAAGAAAAGCAGGTCTTTACTCGAGATCTATTATACTTTATATAAAATGGGATCCAGATGTGAGAGTTATGATGTTCTTAACAAAGCACTAAAGTTACTGGGATGCTTGAAAAGTAGAAAGAGTAGTTAAATCCAGAGCAGTACAGGGTGCCACTTACTGCCACAGGGTCTGTTTGACTTGGAAAGTCAAGCAGGTAAAAGTCCCAAAAGGTCGCAGAATGTTTTCAAAAAGCTGACCTAATTAACGGTGGGAGATGTTCAACTTCACCGTTTCACATTCATTTTAACCAAATACAAGTTCACTGTCGCTATTATAAATATAAGCAACACATTTCAAACAACTTCCTTTAAAAACAGGCAATTTCCACGCTTCCTGAAAATGTTTTTTCTGACATTTAAGGCGCCTCTTATTTGTTTATTTTTTTAGTTAAATTAGCCCCTTTACAAGAGAAACCTACCTAAAAATCACTCTTTTTTGTTTCTTGTGACATTTCTAAAGTTCAGCAACAACTCTGTAGGCGGACAGATGGAAATGGAGCACTTGGCAGTGTATACTCAAGGGATGACATTAAAAAGCAGCGTGTGTGTGAGGATAAGGGGTGTCAGAGAAGAAGCAGGGGGAGACTTAAATTCAAGGGCGAGAGACAAAGAGAATAAATGCAAAGGAGAGACTGGTGTGGTCGGGCTTGCTGCGCTGTAACCCTGGAAAAACAAAACCTTACAAACAACAACTACTAAAGTCGAGAGACCATTAGTCCACAACTTCTAAACATACTGCTCAAAAGACTTATTTATATAAGGTGACAAAAAAACAGAAAAGAAAAAAGCCGGTAGTTTGTGGCGAAAAAGCCTGGAAATATGTAAGAGAGCGAACAGAAAGCAAGTAGAGAGTGTGACACGAAGCGAGCAGTGGAAGGGTGTGACCAGCACCAGGGTGAACGCTCAGGAGTTTTCCTGCAGCAGCTGAGGTGGCTGGCAGGGGAATATTCTGCTTCTACCTGTTAATTACGTTCATCTTGATATTGTACGGCAGATGCCAGGCAGGAGCTTTTGTGTTGCCCTCGTGCCACGAGTTTACCCTGGTAAAACTGTGGCTTTGTGCAGGGTGTAAAAAAAAAAAAAAGAGTGCGGCAGTACTCTGAAAGATTTTGGGAAATCTTTCATTTTTCCCAACCAAGTAACTACACCTCTTGACTTGAGTATGGCGGGACAGACTACACAGCATGCCGAGTTGCCCCCTGCTGTGAAAGAGCATTGTTTATATAGCACCTCGAACACCCAGGGCTAGCACGCGGTGCTTCGGGTCTTGTCAGAAAACTTTAAAGTGAGCCTGGGGTGTAAAAAAGGTTGGCAGAAAATTGGCGGCACGCTGCGTTTCAGCCGTCAAGTAGATACAATGGCAGCAAGCTCGAACATTAAGGTGATGAAACGACACCGCGCATCTTCAAAAGGTTCGACTCTAACAAGGTTTTCGATGTTATGACTCCCTCAGGAAAACAGACAGCGTATTCAGAATAATACATAGGGAATAATTTATTACAGGACCTCAGGACCTTGGATACCTAAAGCAAGAAAGCGTGCTGATATAATCCTGATTCAAGGAGCTATATTACACTCAAAAAGTGGGTGTAATGGACTTGTAAAGGTAAAAATAAGATGAAAGAACAGAAAAGGAACACACTGCGCCAAACATCTAAGGTGGGCGTCAAACCTACTGTTTACCAAGGAAGACAAAATCAATGCCCTCCCCACTGTGAGATGCAGCGAGAACTGCATCTCACTTTGGGCAGCAGCAGTAATCTAACAGGACTGGGTAAACATGTGGTCTGTGTCAGACTGTAAACTTTTCACTGGCGGCATCCAGGGGACTTTCTCAGCAGTGCCGCATGCCTTTTCAAGGTGTTATGTGAAAATGTAACTGCGCTAAACACGTTAGAGTTGTATTTTATGTCTGAGGTTAAAGCACTGACATGCAGCATGGTCTCAGGTGCGTCTGAGACACCCCCCCTCCCTCCCACAGCAGCAGCAGCAGCAGCAAGGTGTAGCAAACCTGAGCTCCTTCTGTCAAACAAACAACAGCTTGTCATTTTGCATACTTTTACATGTATCTTCTCCGGGGCCACTTTGCTACAGCTTTAAACCGCTAAGATCAACACAAACGCTTTATGCAAAGTGTCCAACTCAACGGTTAAGAGCATAATAAACAGACTGGTGCATGTAAATGTAATGCAGATTATCTGCAGACAGGAGGGGGACGTCACCAGTTACCGCTGTTATCCTGCTCTATCGTTTTATAATAAACGAATCTTGCATTTTAAATCTGCAAAGAAAGCAGCAGCTGCATCTTCACTTGGAACATAAATTCCATTCAATGTAACTTGGGGCTGCTTTCAGATCGCTTTTCGGATTAACTCAACCGGGTTTAGGACGGCAGAGCGCATGTGCTCATAGTTGCCTGTATTTCTCCGCAGAGAGAATCAAAAGTTCCAGCAACCATGGCATTTCAGCTCATAACGTGTTCCCCTTTCGCGGTTGGAAAATAACAACAGACTATAGAAAAGCCACTTTCTCCATAAACTGCAAGAAGAAGCTATTCGTCGTACACCAAACTTTCCTGTCAGTTATCTGGGGCGCGTTTTGCCCTGACATGTAACCCACATGTTAGCAACTTACCTAAAACTGCCGACACCAGATAAATACATTAAAACAGCTAGCTCTAGTTAGCGGGGCATTAGCGCATCTGCTACGGTGTGCGTCCATTATCGGACACGAAGCCAAACTCGCTCACAAACGCTTCATTTTCCTGTTCTGCGCTGTGACACTCCACTTAACCTTTCTGTCGCATTATTTTCTTGGCACCGTTTGTAAGGCTGCATATTATAACACGCAGTAAAACGAGGTTTATGAGCAAAGTGGACACAAACAACTAGTTCCCCAGCAACTTCGGAATGCGCCGCTTCGGCGGAGGAATACTAAACAAGAAGTGTCGCTTGACAAAAAAAGTAATAAGTTTAAAATGACTTTACAAATACATTGGGGGAGGGAGGCGTTACTAGTTTGTGTGTTTGTTATTTTAGGGGTCGTCTTTATTTTGTAGGCGCTAGAGTGGTGTTGCGATATAATTAATGTGTAGTTACTTACTATCAGTTGGCAGCTGTTTCTATAATTACCTCGTCTTTCTGACGCTTCCGTTACTTTCTCCATGTGATTCGTCTGCCTCTGACCCATTGTCGTCGTCCTCCACGGTAACGTCTGCTCCAATGACCGAGGTGCCTACGTTCTCCAAGCCACGCTTCATGACTCCTGCACCATCTTGCCCCGCGGTCGAACCTGAATCCCCGGTTGTGGACAGCGGCACCCTCCCGATGGTGGAGCCCTGAGCTTGCGAAGTCCCAAATCCGATAAGCGCTTTCAGCAACAAGAGGAGCACCAGGGAAATGCTCACGTTTCCAAAGTGAAACCCCCTTTCCATTTGTGAGACTGGCACATTAGTGATTAGATTTACATGCCACTGGCCTTGTAAATCTTAACATAAAAAAACTTAAGGTCCAAAAAAAACTGTAGTTAAAACAGAAATCAAAGCTGTGTCTTCTAAAACGCCCTTTTCGGAGATGTTCTTTAAGTAAACATAAACAGCCACTGGGAAACCATGTTATTGCCTTTATACTGGACTCGACTTGCCTTGGTAACGCTGAATCCCGCCTTGTTTCTACACTAGGATTGGTTAGTGGAATCGCCGAGTTTGTTAAAAATTCATGTATCCGCCTCTCGTTGGATAATTTGCTGTCAATCATCTAGACTCGCACACTAAGCAGAATACTATTGCACTACCCATCTGTCACTCAAAGAGGTGGGCTCAGGAAGTCCCAGCCTCCCAAACAGTGTACTGCATTGGCTAATCCGCTGTCTGTCACAGCCACGCAGGCGCATTGACGGCTGCCCGACGACCAGAGCAAAAGGTGACGCAAAAATGTCCTCGATGGCGAATTCCGTAGCGGAGCTGTGATTGGTCCGAGTTGACGTCCTCTAACCAAGAACACAGGTTGGTCTGACAGGCAGGGACGTTATTGGTCAGTTTGCGTCCTGGGTGACTGAATGGAACAACTAGATTCGACATTTAGGCTGTCATTCATGAATTGTTGTCAAGACAGCCAACATGAAAGCATCAACGTGGCTATACAAGATCGGTGCAGTTCCTGGTCCTGGTCACGAGTTATCGTTCTCAGTTTCATTTACACAGAGATAACAATGACATAATGTCTATAACTCAAGTCACAGGAGAAAAGCTCAAAGCTCTCCATGACATTACAGAACATTTTTTGTGTTATAAATATATATTACACAAATTATAAACATGTCAAAGCATTTAATATACAAAAGACGAATTTAGCTATGTATTGTACATAAGGGTATTAGCGCATAATCTGTATATAGAACATTTTGTTGTGCTGGCATTAAACTACCTTAAGTACACCAAGCAGATTGAATATCTAGCGCCTCCCTGTGGTCAAAAAGGAGGGTGGTACTTTCCTGCATTCTGCACAAACTCGAGCACAGCTTGTTATATTCATTCCCGTGTGCCTAGTGACTAAACTGCTCCACCGAGGACACCATCTCCTCTTCTCTTTACTGAAGCCTGCACACCTGGAAAACACCACTCTGAGCACTTTGCTGTTCACGCTGATGACTGATCGAGTCCATCCTCACCTCCTCCATCACCGTGTGGTACGCTGGAGCCACTATCAGGGACAAACAGAGACTGCAGCGTGTTGTGCGCTCTGCTGAGAAGGTGATTGGCTGCAGACTCCCATCTCTGCAGGACCTGTACACCTCCAGGACACTGCGGCGTGCAGCCCGGATCTCAGCTGACCCTTCTCACCCTGGACACAGTCTGTTTGACCTGCTCCCCTCAGGCAGGAGGCTCCGGTCCATTCGCACCAGAACCTCTCGCCACAAGAACAGTTTCTTCCCCTCTGCTGTCGGACACATGAACAATAACCACTTGACTGTCCCCGCCACTAACACATGACCCTACGCTGTGTCACTGCATCATTCCATGTCTGGCACTGATCACCACCTGCACTCATGTATATATATCTTTCTACGTAGCACTCTTAATTCTTATTCTCATGTATATATCTCATGTATATCTCATGCACATATCTTTCTTTCTACATAGCACTTTAATTCTTATTGTTTGCACTGAAGCACCGCAGCAAATTCCTAATGTTGTAAACCTCAACATCTGGCAATAAACCCATTCTGATTCTGATTCTGACACATGACCACCAACCACACTATGAAGTTTGCGGGCAATGCAACAGCAGTGGGCCTCATCAGGGATGACCACCTGGCTTACAGAGAGGTGGTGTAACAGTTGGTGTGGAGTCAACAACCTGATCCTGAACGTCGGACTTTGAACATGGTGTCACTGGTCAAGAGGGCACAACATTAGGCTGCACTTCCTGCGCAGGATGACGAGAGCCCCCCTAGTCCCACCCATCCTCACTACATTCTAGAGCGGTACCATAGAGGGCATTTTGACCAGCTGCATCTATGTGTGGAGTGGCTGCTGCAGTACCTCTGATTGGAAGACTGAAGAGAGGCGAGGATGGTGGAAGAAAACCACTGAGGCTCGCCTTCCCTCCATTTATGACACTGCACCCAAGCGCTGCTTGTTTCGAGGCACAGACATCATCACTGCATCCTCATCCCTCTTTCATGCTCTGTTGTCCCAACCCTCGCATGTTACAGGATTTCTGCTGCTATACAATTTTATATTTCACCAACTGTAATGAAATTTTGTTCCTTGTATACCTGTTGTACAGTGACTGACAAGGTCAAAGTCAAATAATGTTCAGAAATCACACATTGGTACGGATATCATCTTAATATTTTAACTATTATTCAATTTGCTATTTTGTTAATAGCTTTAAATAAAGGGAAATAAGTGTTAACAAGTATGCTCACACTAAATCACAAAAAAATAAAACAAGACATTGAGTTATAATTTTGGTCCTGTATTGACAAAGAAATTGGAACCTTTGCAGCAAAAATAATAATAATCACAGTCAACTGGTAAAGAAAAGAATGGAGAAAAATACCATGCTGGTGCAAAAATATTCCAAACACATTCCCAGATCGCTTAACCTTTCATCTCCAGGCCACTTGAATTTGATTTATGAGACTGGAATAACATTAGAACAGGATCCGAGTGTGTGCACTTCACAGTGTTTGGTTTTTTTTTTTTAAACATATTTGCCAACTGACTGCATTTGCATGACTTGATCTTGAATTTCGCAGCTCTGCCCATGTCCAGAGTCTCTCAGAGTTTTACATTGAAACAAACACATTCACAAAAATAAAACCACAGTGTAAGGCATAGTAAAGTCGAAGGAACGGCTGAATTTGAAAACCATAAGAACAACATGTGATGGCTGATGCAGGCAGAGACAGTAACTTGGCCACAAAATAACATAAGGGATCATTTCTTCAAGGGACAGACTCCATGCTATAAACTGAACTACGAAGATGCAGTTTCACCAACACTGACAACGCTTTTGTCTTAAACTAAAATATTTTAAAGGCATTCAACTATGAAAATGTATTAACTTTTGCTACTTGAATCATAAAGAACATTCTATTACTTTGGTATTACAAGACACAAAATGTACTCATGGTTCTAGTGAAACTTACATAATCTACAGCACGCCAAAGTTAAATAGCATGGCTGTCTACCATCATTACCTACTTCAAGTTGCGTTAGTGGGAGGCGTTCAGTGTCCAGATGACTCGTGTAAAGGATAAGTAACGGTCATGCAGGTGACATACAGGCACAAAAAGAACAGAGACAGAGGAAGGAGATGTGTACGTGCATTAGTTTTGCTTTTTTCCTGGACAAACAGCGAGGCTGAGGACTTTAACCTTCAATGATTAGTCTAACTTTACAGGAGCAGTTGTGAAACCTCAGAGGAAACCACATATATTTCCCCAATCTGTCCTCATTCAGGACTGTTGTGTCATGTTAGGCTTCTTCAACAAGGAAACTTGCATTACACTCCACCTTTATATTGTGCATCTTTGTAACACATTACCAGAGGCTTCATAGCTGCACTAGATCATTTTATGCCTCTTGCTGCTTAAATTGGGATATTCATTAGTAGTTCTTGCCATCCCTCCAAAAGCAGGGAGACTAGTGCTGACTGCTTACAGGGTTTTTTTTGGTTTTGTCGGCCTAGCAGATGTTTTGACATATAATTATGATATTTATTTATTTTATTATTATTATTATTTTATTTTTTTAAATGTGCCTTTAAAAAGGTCTTCTTTTTTTAAATCTCAAGGCACTCCTTAATCTGGCTGTGCAGCACTGCAGTGGTTCACCTTAATACTTGAGAACCACAACTCTGCAGAGACTCTGTCAAACCTGCTAACTGCAGAGGAGCCAAAATTCCCAGTGTGACCGGGAAGACAAACTGGGGACATTACAGGCTAAGAAAGAAGATGCGACGCACTTGATTTTACTCATCAGGCACTTTAAAACTCTGAAGCACCACCAGCAGGATGAGAAAACCAAGTGATCTTCAGTGAGATCCTAGTGAGATGTGTGAAAACTGCCTTGCTTTGCAGGAGGTGCAGCTCAACCCAAACAGTAGGGCACCTGGAGGAAATCAAGACTATGGCACTTGTGGGAGCGGTGAGGTCATTCGGAAAGATGAGCAGAGAGAGATTGTGTTGATGGTGGAAAACTCAGTTGACCGCAGGATCTCGAACCTGCACGCTTCCGTCCTCCATGCCAAAGTAGGCCCTTTCGGCCATCCCTACGAAGAGCCCGGTCTCTACCACACCTGTAAGCACACAGAGACAGGCTGAGCACTCTGAACACTGATGGATGGACCAATATACTTACAACAACAATGAGACACGCCCCAAGCTCCTCACCCGGGATCATCTTGATTGCAGTGTTCACTTCCTTCCAGTTCTGAGCATGCTCAAACTTCCAGTCCAGGATGAAGTTGCTATTATCAGTGACCACGGGACCCTGAAAGCCACAAATACATAACCCAGTCACTCCAGCAAAGTACGGGAACACACGCAAAGCTTGTTATCTCAGGCGCTGGAAATATAATTGTTCTCCTTAGCAGTTTACAAAACGCGAGTGTGGTCTGCCACATGTAATTACTAAGTGATCGTGCGCGATTATAAAGGAAGTTTTAATTAAATAACAGCATGTCTGATCGTCAAGGATCTGTGAGTAAACAAACTGTCCCACTCATTAGCACTCAAAACAGTTTCCAGGCTCAACAGCATAAAAAAGGAAAAACAAAAAAAAAGAGAAAAAAAAAGAGCAATGAAAACATTAAGAGCTGGAATAATAAACAGAGGCTCCCGTCTCTCGCTGGATGTTGTTCATTTGAAAGAACAGAGTAGGAGGCAAATCATTAAAGTCTGCAGAGTGTTAATGAGGCAGTTACGGCGCCTGTGTAGGCGGCTTTGCCCTCCGCTTTCAGTGTAAACTTTCCTCAGTTTCACACAGTTGTCACAAGCCTCTAACGAAGCCGACTCACGAGGCCACGCAGTTAGTTAATTGCACTGGATTGACACTACAGGCTCTGCAGCCAATGAGCTGGTCCACAGCAGCACTAAGTCTTCCTCAAAGTTACTCAAAAACCGTTTAACTATGTGCTCCTCGCTTCACCAAGTTCAGTAAACAACATATAGAAAAATGTAAAGTCCCGGTTATTGTTTGTGGGTTCAACTCCTTCATGTGAAGCCCAGTGTAATGCTTCACTGTCACTGATGAGGCAGTATCACCATCCATCATCACATCCTTCAATTTGGACACACTTAAAGATAAAAATACTAGTAGGTAGGATAAGTGAAATGAGATGATCAGAGGGTAAAATCACCTTTTACACTGAGGCCAGCTACACAGGCAACATCAGGCTGATATACACGACAGCATTTTTGATTCTGTTTTATGGGAAGGGTTAAAATGTTGCTAATAAAAGTAGAAAATGGGGCTCAGTGACTGCGGTGTAGCACCTATGGAAGTCTGGTCGGGACAAACAACAGGCACAAGTCCCCAGAAGCAAACAAAGGCTATTAACCAATATGCTGCCACTGAAATGTCTCTTTTATGCACAGCCTATGGCTAAATTTAAACTTAAATTCTTTTTTAACTGTTGATTAACGCTAAAAGTTCAATGGTAAGTTTGAGAACCACTGAATGAAAATCCAGGAGGAAAACCAAAGCAAAGCTGTGAGCAATGAAACAGAGGTGCAGCTGAGATGTCACAGATGTTAGAGTCAGTCCACTTACTGCTTTGCTGACAGCCATTCTTAAGTTAGCCTCGCCTCCAAAACGCTTGGCTATTGTTCTGGAGACGGGAACATGCGCCATGGGGATAACCTCAACGGGAACTCCTTTCTTCCACTGTTGGCCCAGAGCTTTGGAGTCCTTCCTGGAGTTGTGGAGAAAGGGAACGAATCAAATCTGGACGAATGATCCTCACATAGATACAGATCAGTCTAAAACCTGTTTTTATTTTAGTAAAAGAAAATGAATACAAATATTTAATACTTAAAGTGTCTTATTTGGTACCCGATGTGGCTGTGATAGCTGATGTGGCAGCAGCGAGTGTCAGTTTACTTAGAATGAAAGGACACATTTCCATCACTGGTTCAAAGCTGTGGTAAAACTGGTGCTGTCTTGGAATTACAAGCACTCGTACACGGTAACGCTACAAACACACTTTCCTATCATATTGAACCGTCTGCCAAAACATAACGATTAATGACACCTCAACAGATCTCTGAATTCTACGATATTTTAATAAACAGTAGGATTACATGGTTCCTGAGGCCAAAGTCACCTGGATTTAAACTTGTCCAAAGATTTTTAATAGATTCAAGTTAAATTTGCAAACATGGGTTTCCACACCACTCACCTGCCTGGCAGGGTGGCCAGACCCCATCACCCTAAAAAGCCCAAGTGTGCACCTTTAATTATACCCAGATAGTCAAGATCTTCATATGAATAATTTTTCATGTCCTGTACATCCTAAAGGTCGGGTCAGGTTTATATGGTGGATGTTTGGAATCATGCACAGGTTAAGTCCAGTGCAGTTCATTTTTTCTGTTGTAACAGAGTAATTTAATCAACCCTGGTTTTAAAAAAAGTACACTGCTGAGCAATGTTCCCTCTAATTTTTCATGTGTCTGAGCGAACACACAAACTCCCTGAGCGGTCCCTTGGACCCCTGTGAGCAACAGCAGACGTGTGCACTGTGGTCACGCCAGCATCGAATCCATCCAAGTTACACGGTTTATTAAAATAATCAAATTACAGCATTTACATTTATGTTAGACTACTTTATCCCACTTACAATGAAAATAAAAATCTTGTTCATGATCTGTGTAGTATGTTAACACTATTAGATAGATAGATATAGATATATCTATCTATATCAAACTGACTTGTATTACGAGTCTGTGGTCTGGGAGAGAGTCTGTAACTCTCTCTCTGCAAAATGCAGTATATAATGACCAATGTTGGGCAATTAATTATGTAGTTACTTCTTCAAAAAAGTAACTGAGTTTTGCAAACAAAGTTTTTGCAGCTGTTTACCTAAAAATGCAGCCAAGGCGTTTTTTAAATAAACATTTCAAACTATTTACAGAACAATCAGCTGTTCTGCATCAAATTTGATGCCACACAAATTATTTGTGCCACTCCAAAAAATAATTTCTGTCCACTAAGAGATAAAGGAGAACAACAGCCTGATACCTGCAGGCCTGACAACAGGAGCTGTATCACTGCTGTAACACCTGTAACACTCAGCAGTCGCCTCATTGTTCTGACACACACAACAAAACTAGTGACTACACTACACACTAACTACACAAGATTTGCGCTAAATGTCGGAAATCTCTCACATCTCAAAACACACCATCACTCCTAAAACTTCCCCCTTCCTAAACAACTAAATGCAATGTTGCCATGTCATTTTTTGATTGGTCGACATGGTACATTTTTCCACCAATAGGAAAAGGTGGGGTTTTTTTGCTCATAGGCTTTCGAGCGTTTTCCTTATAAAACGCAGTTTTTAACCATTTCCTCCCGCAGTAAATAGAAACAACGATAGTATTCAGGAAGAAAACCAAACACTGCATATATATTTATCATAACTCTGGTTTTACGTGGCCGATCAACACAATTCAAAAACTGGTATAAAGTCCACACTTTTTCCCGTCAGTTGTTCCGTCCGTCCTGCTCACATCTCCAATGGTTGTACACGTTGTCATTAACGTGGCTTCACTCCACATCAGCCGCTTTGCTAACTAAAACACCGGTGTCGGCACATAAGGACGCTGTCATAGCCTGTCAACGACGCTGATTAGCTGCGTATATACGAATGTGAATCGCATCATTGGCTGGACTATGGGATAAGGTGGCATCTTCTAATCCCATACGGGAGCAGCCAGTCACTTATTGACTTACACTGCAAAACAGAGTTGTTAACGTATTAATTTTAATTTCAATTAAGCGTAGATTTTTTTTTTCTGTGCACAACGCAGATTTTCTGTGCACAAAGAGCGTGCCAGCAGTGCGCAATTGCGCATGCGTGCAGCTTAGAGGGAACATTGCTGCTGAACTACCCGCTTTCATTTCCTTATATTTTGCTAAGAAAATGGAAACATACAACATTCAAAACAGCATGTCAACACAGCCTTAACTCTTAGGCAAGATAGGCCATGTTTAAAAGCTCAATGGTTATCACTTGGATGGTACAAACATCATCACCGATTCAGCTAAAGAAACAGGAATAAAGTGTCTAAAGATACCATTTAAAATAGATTCTTTGCCAAGTTGCCTGTTATGTGTAGAGAACTCTGATTCATCTCATAAGCAAATATATAAAATATGAATCACTAAAGTTTGACCATTTTTCCTAGTTATAGTTGTCTAATATATAAAGCTATTACAGTCTTTACATGTGCTTAGAAACAAGCAACAACTCCAGTGCACACGTGGAAATCTGTGTTCTGCTACTTCACACTACACCTCTGAATGACCACACTTTCTCTAACATCTGACATTTAGGTTCACTGATACACACCTGTAATCGGCAATTACAACAAAATGTTTAGCACAGCCGGCTACAATCTTCTCCTGAGTCAGGCAGCCACTGGTGAAGAAGAAGAAGAGGATGAATGAGAGAAAACACGACAGATGCTGCTTGCAATCAGACATCTGTACTGTACTCACCCTCCACCTTTTATCAGCGTGAGGTCTTTGTCCACTTCATCTGCTCCGTCAATTGCCACGTCCAGCTGCAAAAGCAAAGGCGGTGATTTTTTATGCAAGCAGACCACTGAGCACAAAATATATATACAAAAGAAACTCCTGAACTCCTGAAACTCCTGAACCATTCCCTAAATGTAGAAAATGCTATAGTCAGCTCTCCCAATCATGTTTTATTTATTTGGTTGGGCTTTGCCCCCTTTTTATTTTTATTGATAGTAAGTAGAGATAGACAGGAAATCAGGGCTTTCAGATTGATTTCCAATGAGCTCATCATACCTCGGGGTGCCTGTCCAGATCTGACAGAGTGAGGCCATGCTGTAGAATCAGCTGACGAGCCTGTGGGACAAAAAACAAAAGAAAAGCACAGAGGAAAGAAAAACACAGTTTTAAGTAAGGGGAAATGATGTTTCAAAGCCATATTGCTCCACACTGTTGTGAAATATGCAAACCAACCTGGAAGGAGGTGGGAACACAAACAATATTGAGTTTCTCCTGACGCACTCTCTCAGCTAGAAGAGAGAGGGATAAAACACAAGGGCCATTAGTGCTTCTATTTTATGAATTCTAATAAAGACCCAAATGGTGCTGCATTTAGGAATTTGCTTGTGTTGTTAAGACAGAAAAAAAACTGTGCTCTGTGTCACAACTGGAGCAGAGCTTCAAATCTTCCTGTAGAGCTCAAAGTTGGTGTATTATCTTCTGACGTACAGGTTTCCCTCACCTAATCTATCCACAGCGTAGACGATAGTTGACCCGCTGCCCACACCAACAACCTGATTATTCTAGAAAAACACAAATAAAGTCAAACAAATGCAGTGAGGCTAAATATCCTGAGGATGTGTGGAGAAAAACAAACAACATCAAAAGATGCATAAGGGTTTAATTGACTGCAATCATAATAACAATGATCATATCATGAATCTACTTTGTTAGGACTGCTGAGTGTTTAATTCATGTATTGGCATACTAAAAATGACTAAAACACAAGATACCAAGATTTTAGGTTTCAGCAGGTAGAAAGCTCTCTCCTGTCTCATCTAAGCCCCTCCCACTAGAAGAGCCTGGACACGTGCTTCAGACCTGCTGGTTTGGGCTCTTCTGTTCAACCCAACGTGCAGACAGCTCACTTCTTAAGCAGACTTGTTTGCTCTGTACTGCTCAGCAGCGTTTTGCTTCATGAGATTGACTTTCTAAACCCTGAACACAGAGGCGATCGGAGGTGCAGGAGTGTACATACAAATCGTAATTGCACAACAGTAAAAGGTTATTATGGACGCCCCTCATCATCATCATCATCATCATCATCGGCCCAAATGGATACCGGAGAGACTTTAATGTGACATTTGGTGAGCGGTCATGCCGTGTTAAATCAGCAGTGTACGGCTCTGTCAAATACAGCGACCGCTTAGCTAGCGGCTTACTATGTGTTGCAACATGTAACATGCACTGCTTAATGCTAAGCAAAGTTAGCTAGCTAACTCAGCTAATTCGCTTCCAAACCGTGCAAGTTAGATAACGGTAACAAATCACTAAGCTGGTCTTCTAGCTGTATATTTAGCCAACTTTACTAGCACGCTGTTATCTAAACACGCAGATAAGACTATATACTGCTGTTTCAAATCCTGTTAATAGTAAGCGACAAACTAGCAGAGAGTGAACGGTAACAGAACCTGCTGTACCTGAATGTGGTTATCCACGGCGGCGTAAGCAGCTAGCTTCTTCGCCTCCTCTGCCATGTTAGCTGCAGACTGACTGAAAAGACACACGTGCTTATAGTTATTGGGAACCGCCAGCCTCCGGGATGCTAGATACACAAATCCAGCTGCGTGTTTCTTGAAGGAGACCCACCCCTGAAGTGTCATGACCCGGCCCACAAGACACGGAGACAGACAGGTCCACCAAAGACAGCGCCGCGGACAGCTTTCCCCTCAAACAACATAGATCTGCAGTGTAAGTCATAAACCCCGCCTCCTCCGTGTTAGTGGATAAAATACAAATTTCTCCTCGAACTTTTGTTTAGCAAATATTCTTTCTTTGATTATCAATATTTATCATCATTTATATTCAAGGGGTCTCCTTTCCCATAAGTTTGATTCTAATTACTACTATAATGCTTTTAAATTGGGGTGCAACGTCATCATATCAGCTTTGACTGGCAGCTGCAATCACGGTGAAACTTGTGAAAACCTCTGTGTATATATATATATATATATGTATATATGTATATATATATATATGTGTGTATATATATATATGTATATATATATATGTATATATGTATATATATGTATATATATATATAATATACATGTATATTTACAGAGTTTGTTTCAAATATTCAGGTTAAAAAAAACGAATCTGAATTCATGTTAATGGTCACAAAGTTATATGTGCAGCACTCTGGACAGCTTACATCCTTTAAGAGAAATAATTTGTAGCATTATTATTTGTTTTTCAGTACTCAGGCAGCAGCTTTAACATTGCTGTATGTCAGTGACCACAATGCAGGAGCAGACTGAACCAGGACTACAAACTAAAAACTGCATTTCGTTGCCCTGTACCTGTGACATGTGCAATGACAATAAAGTTGAATTCTATTCTATTCTAAACCTGCTCCATCTTCTCATCTCTGGAGATTTCCATTTACAAAGCACCAACAACTCAAAGGTAAATATTATATTGGAAAATCTGTTTATATATGTTGTTTATATAGTATGTATGGTATATAAGGCTTTGGCCTTTTTTAATAAGCAGCTCGTATGTCAGCAGAACTGTAGAACTGAAAGAATGCAAGAGTAGAACTCTGTGAGGACCAAGAAGGATCAGCTTTATTTCATATTTGAGAGATAAACTTTATATTTCAGTTTGTGATGATTCTGTTCTCTTCGTGATTACAGGAGCTCCCCTCAGACTCAGACCTCTGTACCACCCAGTGAAAGCAGACAGATATCCAACATGTTCATGTTAACTCCAGAATTAACTGATAAAAAAAAAAACAGTACAAAGGTTAAAGTACCACATGTGCTGTCAGTGTTTTATTGATGTGCAGCTGTTTTATTGATAAAGTTAAAGACAAAAAGTCAAAAGGATTAATCACCCATGTAACCGTGTGTGTCACTACATATCAGCAGTTTGGTGTTTCAGAAAGCTGCTGATCTGAGACCTGCAGAGGTTCTATTTTAAACACTGAATGCACTCAGACACAGGAAGAGCACATGAGATTTTCTCTGACACAATTAAATAAAACCTGATGACTAAAAACTAGTGATCTGGAATTCTTTCACTGTGTTTTTTTTGCCAATAGTGTGTTATTTACCACAAAATAATTCACAGTCATTCATACCAGTGACCAGAGAGGATGGATGGGGATATATATATATATATATAAAAAAAACACCCAGCACGCCCCTGCGGGCGGTTTATCCTTCAAGCTCGGGTCCTCTACCAGAGGCCTGGGAGCTTGAGGGTCCTGCGCAGTATCTTAGCTGTTCCCAGGACTGCGCTCTTCTGGACAGAGATCTCCGATGTTGTTCCCGGGATCTGCTGGAGCCACTCGCCTAGCTTGGGAGTCACCGCACCTAGTGCTCCGATTACCACGGGGACCACCGTTACCTTCACCCTCCACATCCTCTCGAGCTCTTCTCTGAGCCCTTGGTATTTCTCCAGCTTCTCGTGTTCCTTCTTCCTGATATTGCTGTCATTCGGAACCGCTACATCGATCACTACGGCCGTCTTCTTCTGTTTGTCTACCACCACTATGTCCGGTTGGTTAGCCACCACCATTTTGTCCGTCTGTATCTGGAAGTCCCACAGGATCTTAGCTCGGTCATTCTCCACCACCCTTGGGGGCATCTCCCATTTTGACCTCGGGACTTCTAGGTTATACTCGGCACAGATGTTCCTGTACACTATGCCGGCCACTTGGTTATGGCGTTCCATGTATGCCTTGCCTGCTAGCATCTTGCACCCTGCTGTTATGTGCTGGATTGTCTCTGGGGCATCTTTACACAGCCTGCACCTGGGGTCTTGCCTGGTGTGATAGACCCCAGCCTCTATGGATCTTGTACTCAGAGCTTGTTCCTGTGCTGCCATGATTAGTGCCTCTGTGCTGTCTTTCAGTCCAGCTTTGTCCAGCCACTGGTAGGATTTCTGGATATCAGCCACCTCCTCTATCTGCCGGTGGTACATACCGTGCAGGGGCCTGTCCTTCCATGATGGTTCCTCGTCTCCCTCCTCTTTCTTGGGTTTCTGCTGCCTGAGGTATTCACTGAGCACTCGGTCAGTTGGGGCCATCTTCCCAATGTATTCTTGGATGTTCCTTGTCTCATCCTGGACTGTGGTGCTGACACTCACCAGTCCCCGGCCCCCTTCCTTCCGCTTAGCGTACAGCCTCAGGGTGCTGGACTTGGGGTGAAACCCTCCATGCATGGTCAGGAGCTTTCTTGTCTTTATGTCAGTGGCTTCTATCTCCTCCTTTGGCCAGCCTATTACCCCAGCAGGGTACCTGATCACGGGCAGGGCGTACGTGTTGATGGCCCGGATCTTGTTCTTACCATTCAGCTGACTCCTCAGGACTTGCCTGACCCTCTGCAGGTACTTGGTGGTTGCAGCCTTTCTAGCGGCCTCTTCATGGTTCCCATTTGCCTGTGGGATCCCCAGGTACTTGTAACTGTCCTCTATGTCTGCAATGTTGCCTTCTGGTAGTTCAATCCCCTCAGTTCTGACTACCTTCCCTCTCTTTGTTACCATCCGACTACACTTCTCCAGTCCGAACGACATTCCAATGTCATTGCTGTATAGCCTGGTAGTGTGGATCAGTGAATCGATGTCTCGTTCACTCTTGGCATACAGCTTGATGTCATCCATGTACAGGAGGTGGCTGACAACTGCTCCGTTCCGTAGTCAGTCTTGTTAATGATCTCACTGAGGGGGTTCAGGCCTATGCAGAACAGCAGTGGGGACAGAGCATCTCCTTGGTAGATCCCGCACTTGATGGTAACTTGTGCTATGGGCTTGGAGTTGGCCTCTAGTGTTGTACGCCACATCCCCATTGAGTTCCTGATGAAGGCTCTTAGGGTCCCATTGATCTTGTACAATTCTAGGCATTCCAGTATCCAGCTGTGGGGCATTGAGTCATAGGCCTTCTTGTAATCAATCCAGGCAGTGCACAGGTTGGTCAGTCTGGTCTTGCAGTCTCGGCTGATTGTTCTGTCTACCAGTAGCTGGTGTTTTGCACCTCTGGTATTCTTGCCAATTCCTTTCTGTGTCCCGCTCATGTATTGACCCATGTGCCTGTTCATCTTAGCCGATATGATGCCTGACAGGAGCTTCCATGTAGTACTGAGGCAGGTTATTGGTCGGTAGTTGGAGGGGACCAGTCCCTTCTTGGGGTCCTTGGGGATCAGGACCGTCCGGCCTTCAGTTAGCCATTCCGGGTGTCTCTCGTTAACTAGCAGCTGGTTCATTTGTGCTGCCAGACGCTCGTGGAGTGCAGTCAGCTTCTTCAGCCAGTAGGCGTGAACCATGTCGGGCCCTGGTGCTGTCCAACTCTTCATACTGGAGACCCTTTCTTGGATATCTGCCACTGTGATGGTTACTGGACCCTGTTCAGGGAGGTCGCTGTGGTCTGCCCTCAGATCCTCTAGCATTGCCGTTATGGGTTGCATCCTTCTCCCATATGCTCTTCCAGTATTGCTCCGTCTCCAGCCTTGGTGGTGCTGTTCTCTTATTGTTCCCTTGCCACTGAGAGTACACCTTTGCTGGTTCTGTGGAGAACAGCTGGTTTATTCTCCTGCCTTCTATCTCTCTGGTGTACCTCCTCAAGCGGCTGGCCAAGGCTGTGAGTCTTTGCTTGGCAGTTTCCAAGGCCTCAGGTATGGACAGCTTGCTGTATTTCTTAGGCACCTTATTTGTCGCACCTTTCTGCAACTCCGTTAGTTGGCTAACCTCCCTCCGTGCTACTTTGATCTTGCCCTCTAGCCTCCTTCTCCATGGAGGGTACTGCCCCTTGTCGCTGTTCAACTTGTAGCCAAGCATCTCACTGATCACTGTTGCCGTATTGTAGATGAGCTTGTTAGTGTCGGTAATCGTGGTTGTAGGTATTGCCCGTAGTGCTGCATTAACATCATCTAGCAGACCTTCTGAGGGTACTTCACGTAATCTTGGTAACCGGCTACGGGGGATCCAGGTTTCAAGCTTGGCCATGATCCTATTTTTCAGGTCAGTTCCTCTCGCACTCAACGATCCTTCTCCTATCGCACTTGGGGCTATGTACCCAATCTCGGGTGATGATATCTCCCCCCTGACCTGGCGTCCTGACTCCTCCTTGCCGTAGCATTTGTGTTGTACCTCGTCAATCTCCAGCTGTGAGAGCAGTCCCTTCTTTCGAATGTTGGAACACTGAGCTACTAGTTGTTTCGCCGTCATTGTGGATGTTGGGTATCGAAGAATCCATAGGTCCCTCATCCTATTCATGTAGCCCCTTCCGCCAGGGTTACTTGCGTAGTAGCATTCCAACAATGCCCTGTTTTCGTCTCTTGCCCACCGATGCCTTCTTGTTCCAGTAGCCCACTTTTCGTCAGGGTGCCCTGGTTCCTCAACACCTGACGCGGACCTTGTTGATCCGGGCGACGTCCGAGCCGGCATGCCTTCATATTTATCTGTCTCGCTCATGTCTGCGGTAGGCTTGCTTAGCATAGGGGGTCTAGCCTTAGGACCCTTACTGGATACAGACGCCCCAGGCAGGAATCGAACTTGCGATCCTCTGTTCCAAAGGCATGTAGTCTAACCACTACGCTATCCAGCTGCTGCTGATATATATACATACATACACATATATATACATACACACATACATATACACATACATATATACATATACACACATATACACACACACACATATATATACATACATATACATACATATACATATACATACATATATATACATATATTTCTACAAGACTGAATATAATATCTTTATGTAAGAGTTCAGTCCAAGTATTTATAACATTAAACAAACCAAAGGTCTCTTCTGGAGTGGGCCTACAGTGGAGTTCTGAAGATTTCTCTGTAAGGGAGCTGGTGGTGAAGATCATTAGGTCCTCCTTGATCCCTGCGATGAACTTCAGTTCTTCTGATGTTTCTGAAATGATGCCTCTCTCAGTGGGTCAACAGAACATCTGGATTTCTCCAAACCTCTAGACCCAGGAAACCCAGCTTGGTCCTGATGGTCTCTCTCACCAGTTTCTCCCATGGTGGGTGTAGCTGGTAATAATTATGTGGACTCTATTATTAAATAAAAAGAACAAATTACAATACACTACTGAAACCTTCTGCTGCTGTTGTTACCAGGCTGTAGAGTGCTCTGAAGATTTAAACAGTTTTAGATCCATTACACTCACAGTCTTCTGTTAAAATCTCAAAGGACAGCATTACATTTTTGATATTAACAGTAACTCTGGGTCTCTGTGGAGTATGCAGCTGATGTCATCTGTTAAAAAATGGATAACAAAAACTAAGGAATCATTCAAAAATACAGACTTTGCGGTCACGTCCAGCGGGTGTGTGGGTGGGAGCGTGACGCAGTCGCTCCACCTCAAGTCACTCCTCCGCACTCTGGCTCCAAAAGCGCAATATGGCAGCTTCCACGAGGGGAATATTTTGGCTTCATTTTTGCACCATGGGAGAAAGTGCTGTCGCGTCGTCCATCGTTTATACAGTCAGAGCTCCGCACCATGCAGCCCAGAGCGGCAGAGCGACTTAACTGATTTAACGCGACTCTGTCCGCGTACCTTTAATAACCCCACAGAGCTGATCACCTGCACTGCCAGGTTTCTTATGACTTAAGAGATCTGCGGTCATCTGCGCAGGTGCAGTGCAACAGAGACGATGTTATACTCTAAAAATTGATATTTTTTTCTGCCTATACATCAGTTCGAGATAAATATTTATTAAAACACGTAATTACTCATTCAGTAATTATGGTACCAATACACACAGGATCCCCTTTC